AGAGAGGGAGAATTAAACAATAGATCTCTGACATTTTCAGAATTATAATCAACTCTGCGATCGCCTTCCTGTCTCTGTGTGTTCCCCAATGAACGTTTGAATATCTGAACCGATCTTTATGATGTTTGGTATGTACCTCATGGCGCCATCTCAGCGGCGTACTTCACAAGTCCTAGCACCAGTCTGTGTGCCTGTATGTGTATCCAGCCTATCGTTGCTAGGCAAAGACTTGATAAAAAGGTATTCTTCCTTCCTTCCTTTGCTAGGTAACAGCACGGTAAGCACGTTCCTGCGGCAACGAATTCACGCAATAATAGAATTGTTTGACGCGTCATTTCCAGTGTGGTCCGTGTCATATCAATGAGAGCCTGTGAGTCTGTCTGTATATTCCCCAATGGTTACTAGGTAATAACTCTGTAAACACGTTCTTGCAGCAATGAAGGATTGTTGTAGGCATCGTTTCCTGTGTGGTCCATGTATCAAAGGAAAGTACGTGATTAATTCTTCCCACAACGCATTGTTAGAGTAGTTTCTTAAAGTAGGCTTACATTATATAGCGTTCCCAGAATATTCCACGCTTCTCCCCAGGGGCGAGCGCCCCGCACTTCGGAAACCATTCACTAGAGATGAGACTTGTCCAGGTTTCTAGTTGAATGCCGCAAGCATAGGTAATATGCATTTGTGACCCAACAATGAAGTACAGCTCTAGCACTGAGGTATTCGCGGCTGGAGCTTTAGGTAAGCCCTATAACTGCATTGTTTGCTAAAACAGTGGGAAACCTTCGCCAACCTGCGCCGCGCATTCCGCAACGAAACTCCGATTAGCTCATCAGTCACTCCTCGATTTCTGCCTCACGGTGGAAGCCATCTGGCTGCACGTTGACCACTGCATATGGACCGTGGGATACCTGACTGGGTCTTGTAGCTAAAGATATTACTGTGAATTCGGATAGAAATATGAAAAATTCTATAGTGGCGCGGTGTGTGTAACGTTCATTTGGCGAACAATGTTTTGAATGTCGGTGAAAATTTTTGAATTCAAGCTATGAGTTATTTTGCTACTAGAAATGTTCGTGTTTATTCCTTAAGAGTTTTATTTAGTTTCATAGTGGCCCTGCATAAATAATCTTAGTTTTCCGCCGGAAGTAACTGGTCGTCTGGTAACAAGATGGTGGCTGTGGGACAGCCATGGCAGAACTACTGTAGGGCCCTTCGACTTCCGTTTCTCCTGCATCTTACTAATACGGGGTATATGAGATGCACCTGATTACCTGATCTGTCCACGTACACCCTTGCAGTGATTCGGCAATGAAGGGTAATAATGGGACCAACCTCCCCTGTGTTTTACTGCTGGAACCAAGCATTCCGGACTGTAGGCTTCCTCGGGAGTTCTCCAAACGTAAATTCTTCCTCATGTAGGGAGCAGCGTGAAGGACAACTCATCTGACCATATCACGCGCGCGTTTCCAGTTGTCTGATGTCCAGACTATGGTCGTGACACCATCGTTTACTCATTTCAGCATTATTTTCAGTAATTAGAAATTTAGGAACTGCAGCCTTATCGTGGATATTGGATTCGGAAGGCTCATGTCGGACAGTTTTTGTGGAAACAGGGTCTTCAGGATGCATATTCAGTTCTGCTGTCACTTGTGCTGCAGGTTATGTGATTTTTTAAACAATCCTTCTCAGTGTACGACAATTACTGTCTGTCAATGTTGATATTCGCCCACTGTTCCTCTTCCCTGATGTTGTCCCTTCGAATCTGGCGCTATCAAATCACCTAACAATGTGGCAGTTCTTGTCACAGATGCTTCAGCTGAACGCGCACTAACGATCTATCCTCTTATAAAATCGAACAAGTGTAGTTTGTTGAGACACTATGCTGCAAGCCAGAAGGTCGCGGGTTCGAGTCCCGATGAGGTGAAATTTTTTCAATTTACCTGTTCCTTCCAGCCGCATTGTGGCCCTGAGGTTGGCTCAGCCTCTTAACAGAAATAAGTACCAGGAATCTTCCTGGGGGGTAAAGGGCAGCCGGCTCATAAGACTGGTAACCTTTCCGCCTTCTGTGAGCCGATTGTCTAGAGAAAATGTGGGATCCTCGACGTCTCATAACCCTGTAGACCCTCACGACCTGTCACAGGGATAGCTTTACTTTTTTTTTTTTAACTCCATTTTCCAATTCTTTCACACAGACTGTCACTCAACACAATCACTAATTCACTGACACGCACAATCACTAATTCACTGACACTGACACTACAGAGTGTAAACAGGCGGAAGAACATTCAGTATTGCCAACTGAAGCACTTTAAATGTAGCCAACACAAACATGTTCTATTCCTCAATTGTCTTTGTTTTTCCATTATTCTGCCCACTCCTGTAGGCTCTAGAGGTTAAGTGGGAGGGGCTAGTGGATCCTTTTGTTCTGATTGGTTATTAAGGAAATGCTGGTGTAACACCGGATGAGAATTCAACGGACAGCTGTACCGACTATGTATGTAATATGCATAGGAGCTCGGGTAGAGACTCTAGCTACGGATTTCCGGCGAGGTCATCCAGACTGGCTCAGGGGAACTCCCTCATCCCTCTTCATGGCGTGGTGCTTAATTAAGCACCATATATCATGTTCGTCAAAGAGAATCAGACATTTTCCTCAGGATATACGAGCAGTGTCTGCGACGCCACGAAGTTGACATGCGGCCTTATCAAGTCGCATCACAATTCCTTGAAACACGTTTGTGTAACTTTAGAATCACGAGTCTCGCTTGACAGGAAGATAAACGCGCTTGACGTCAACCACTTTGCGTGTCACCAAGCCTGCTAGACTGATTTGGAATCCAAGGTCCTCCACCCCCCACCCCACCGGGGTGACTGTGTGACTACAGATGGGGTTTTAGGCCGCGCCACAGGTCAAGCGGTTAGTCGCTGGCTTCCCATCGCGGCGGCCCGGGTTCGATCCCGGGTCTGGTCTAGTGGGATTTGTGGTGGACAAAATGGCGCTGGGGCGGGTTTTCTCCGAGCACTTCGGTTTCCCGTGCCAATCTTCATTCCACCAAATTCTCCATCATCATAATCACCCGGGGCAGGTACAATAGGCCAATCAGTGTCCGCCGTGCCGAGTGGACCCAGTTGGACTCCACCCCCCACAAAGCGAAAAGAAAAATAGATGGGGTTTGGATTGGTGAATGGATTTATTGACCACTTAAGGTAAAGTTGCCCCTGTGCTTATGAGGGGTGGAGGAGTGGATGTATAGACCCACGCTTTCTTGACCTCGGCACTAGTTGGAGGTGAGTGGTCAGCTTTACACTGGAGCCGCTTTACTCCCGGCCGTTCAGAACAACACGTACTATGATAACAATCGTTAGTACAGACCACGGATACTAAATTTCATAGGAATTCGTTCAGTATTTATAATGTCGAAACATTACGTTCTTGTCGGGCTAGTTGACGAACAAAGAACGCCTAGTAATCGACTAATGACGACAAACGCCTATTTCGGTCTGACAGACATAACTTATAGCCTGGGAGGTAACAGCAGAAGTGGAGTGGAGTGCCCAAGTTTCGGCAGTTAAAACTGGCGCCAATCTGCAAGGCCCTGATACCCACTTTGGCTCTGGGAAAACAGAAGCTCCCTCGTCTGTAATACAACGTTTTCACGATTAAACCTATCCGTACGTACAACTGCAGATCTTTAACGGGTTCTATCTTGTGGGATACAATGCCGTGTAGTCCGCCGAAAATCAGTTGACGTTTCGGAAGAACATGTCGCCTCCATCTTCAGTTCTACTTGCTACGTGCTTCTTGGGTTCTTGCTTGGCTAACTCTTCAACCTCGAAGATGGTGGCGACATGTTCCCCTGAAACGTCGGTAGATGCTCAGTGGACTTTAAATATTTTAAAATACTGTGGCTACTATATATACCACTTGCTTTCTAATTTAAAAAAAAACACATTTTGACTACAGAGTGTATTTATGTGTTCCGTATGATTCTTACAATACATAGCGATTATTTCCCCGGTTGTTAGACGCAATGTTTCCTGTGAGGTACGAACTGAATTGTTATATATTAATTTGACGCTCTTTCACATACTTTTCTGCTATACTTTGCCCCCCCCCCTCTCTGTCTGGAAAGTGAGGCTGTACAGAGTAAAGTGAGAATTGTGGCTAAGGATGTTTGAGAACAGGCGAATGTTTGAACATGTTAGAGATGAGGTCATAAACGCGTGGAGAACATGACATAAGGGCACAATATTTTACTGTTTCCTCAATTTTCTTACGATAAGGACGTTAAAAGATCAGGCGGAAGAATCATGTAGCACGCACGATGTAAACGTTGAACGAATATTAAATTGTAATGCAAATCATCAGTGGAAGAAACTACTTGGGAGATCTAGGCATAGATGGAAAATCCATACTGAACAGATAAGTGTGAACTGCATACGAGTCCAGTGACGTGACAACGAGGATGAATATTGCGGTTGTGTATGAGCAGCTAGGTCTATAGGTCTCATGTGGGTTGAGGTTCTGACACCGGCAACTGCTCTCTGAGATGCGACGTCATACGAAGGAGACATCACGATCCTCCGAAATGTCGGTAAATATTGTCACATGTCGGGTTAGGGTACGCGTGACGAAAATAAGGGGTTCTAGTTCGGCTGATCGGATTTATTAGCGTCTTGGTTACATGTTCTCTTAATCACACTTAAATACAGCGCTATGGCTGATTTATTAATCAAATCTGTTACAGTATCTACTAAACAACATAAGATATAAATCATCAGAAAAATCCTGGCTAGTGGAACAACTACGGTAGAAGACTTTTTGTGCCCTTGAATTATTCAGTACAAACGTAAACAGAGGACATAAGAGTAGGCGCTTGAAGCAATTGGACAGAGACTTAAGGAAGTGATGACAGTATATCTGCACAAAGATGCAATCATGTGTCGTTTAAATATGTGTTTACCCAGTATCACGCTAGGCACTTTCTGTTGTCCCTCAGGTACCGTCGATGTCCCCTGCAAGTCTACAGTGCGCAGAGTGGCTGCGCAGTTACACCGAGCACTGTCTGAGAAGGGACTGGCCCTGCTTGTGAATCATGGCATCCCTGAGGACAAGGTACGTGGTTCAGGGGACCACAAACGATGTAGTTTTTGTGCAGGATTAGGCGAAGGATGGGCCGGGATATTGTAGGCCGTACATGCTCGGGGGGAGGCACTGCAAATGAGTTCAATAGTAGTTAAGTGAGTTGGAAATTAACGCTTTGTACGCTACGAACGATATTTAACGTCTTGAATGTGACAGAGTTTGCCTAAAATATCAGTGAAATTAGGACAACCCCGCCAAATGCCGACGTCTTCAGCTAGCAGTCTTGTAAATGCCAAGGCTTAAATTTATCGGTCATAAATTACTGAAATTTAATCAGAATCGTTCCAACCGTTTTCGAGAAATCGCAATTTTGTGTCCATGGGCCCCATTTTTTAGAGTTAGAATGTTCATGTTCACCGGGCACCGGACCTATGATATAAACAAAACAAAGAAACTCCGTGGTTTTAGTCCGCAGCGAACTATACTGACCGAGCGAAGTCAGTGCCAACTTTAGCGGATAGAGGGTATCGCGTGGTCAGCGCAACGAATCCCCACGGCCGTTAATTTCGGTTGGATATATGCATAAATACTGAATATGAATAAAATCGCCCAACCTTCCAGTGTGTAAGTAAGTCTGTCAGAATGTAGAGACGGAAATGTTTCACGTGACATTACTTTCTCTCTGTATGTTTGTGAGAAAGCAGAAGCTGCAGGCTCGTTCTTTACTTAGAAATCAGCCTGCAGGGGCACAGTGAGGGGACACAGAGTACAACATTCAAGGCACAAATCATTATTTCCGTAAAAGCTATTTGTTCTTTCATAAAAGTATGTATTAACTTATGTTGCTGTCTCGTCATCAAAATGCAGGGCAAAATCATGGCATAAAGACAGGAAACAGATGTTTTCAAAATGTGGCACAGTTCACATATTTGGGAACGACGATAACAAATCAAAACCTGATTCAGGAGGAAATTACGAGGAGATTGAACTTGGGTAATGCTTGCTACCATTCAGTCCAGAACCGTTTGTCTTCTCATCTGATGTCCAGAAACATAGAAATTAGAATATACAAACTATAATTTTTACCTGTGGTTCTGTATGGGTGCGAAGCTTGGTCTCTGACATTAAGGGAGGAACATAGACTGAGGGCGTTTGAGAACAGGGTGCTGAGGAGAATATTTGGACCGAAGAGAGATGAAGTGACGGGAGGTTGGAGAAAACTGCATAATGAGGAGCTTCATACCGTGTACTCTTCTCCAAGTATAATAAGAATGATTAAGTTAAAGATGATGAGACATGCAGGGCATGTAGCACGAATGGAAAAGAAGAGAAACGCATATAGGATATTGGCGGGAAAGCCAGAAGGAAAGAGACAACTGGGAAGACCAAGGCATAGGTGGGTGGACAATATTAAAATGGATATTAGAGAGGTAGGATAGGATGGTATGGATTGGATTGATCTGGCTCAGGATAGGGACCGCTGGAGGGCTGTTGTGAACACGGTAATGAACCTTCGGGTTCAATAAAATGCTGGGAAATTCTTCAGTAGTTGCATCTAGATCGTTTGATAAAATATAAGTAGAGGCTACGAAAATTGTAGCAAGAAACCAGGGATCCAGCTTGTAAAATGGCAGTCAATTGGGTCACCAAATCAATCAGGTGAATGACCCCAAAAAAGGCACTTGAACGGTGCGAAACAAAATTTGGTAACGCTGAAGTCACACCTCAGGGTATATGGCCCATTGCGAAATCTCTCTTAAAGAGAGACGGACCAAGGGCACCAACTGCTATTCATGATTCTTCTGGCCTTAAATTTCACCCTTCCGAAAAAGCCAACGCAGTTGCCGACTGTTTCGAAATTCAGTTCACGCCGCATGACCTGTGCGACGATAAACATGAACGGCGGGTGGAGGCTAGAGTTCAAGCTCTGCTTGAAGCCGTAGACCAGCGCTTCTGAACGTTAATGAGACCGCGGCCCAGTAAGTTCTTTTTTTATAAGACGAGGGCCCAGTCCCAACAAATTTACTCGTAAATACCTTTCCAGTTTTGTTAAAGTTCGTGCATTAAGCTAACGTAATATTAGTAATTAATTATAGCATAATCATAAAGAGTATTAGTACACTTATGTATACGGTGTGGCATGTTGACAAACATAAAATTACATTTAAATTAGTTATCAATCACTAGACTAATGAAATCTTGTAGCATTTTGTAGTTCCCTCAGACCAACATCATTAAATTAATTTGTGCTAATTTTCATTGACATATCCCATGCTGATCACCAAAAACTTATGTTATTCAGCGTAAAATTGATTACTGTATTATTAAATTGATTTTAATGATGTTGGTTTGAAGAAAACGGCAGTGAGAAAAATATTTATGCACTGTAACTCACCACAGAAGTCAGCTGAGTAGGGGAAGAAGCAGAAGGATGTCAACTTGCCGGCGAAACACTTATTATCACATGCACACGCCAAATAATTATATATGTAAAGTATGTAATTTGATAAATAAAACTGTATGGATCTCTCAATTCTAAACACTACTTCCAACACTAATTAATATTTTGGTTTTAAAGACGCAGCACTTTAACACAGCAATTATAAGTTATTGGAAAGTTAAACTTAGTTTCTTTTACAGAGTGGATAATGTTCAGTCCAGTGTGACGTACAAGTTTACAACACTTCAGTCTTTTTCACCTTACATGTTTCGATTCAAAAGAATCATCCTTAGAGGCGCACCACTACGAGCAGGAAACACTGTCACATAAGATGTTTTAACCATATGCACTTAAGCTATGAGTAAAGCTCATTATATAAATTTTGTTACTATCACGGCTGGTTTTGATGTTTGTCTTAGGCACTCACAATGGCACTTCTTGAAGTGTAGAGTTACGTATGATGATGTTTCTTTTAAGTGCATTTCCTGGTTATTATGACTGGGGTTTTCCACTGCACGCGGTATGATGTTCACTTTCCCATACAGTAGCCTCCCAATGCATTTAAAATTGTATTAGAATTTCCATGTAAAATATTAGTTATTGTGTTAAAATATCGTGAGCCGACATTGGGTCATGTAGTTTTCCTCCTGATGGTGGGAGATGTCGTTCATTTCTCTTGATTTTATGCTCTGTAAATATATTATTACAATAATTATTTATTTTATTCTATCTTATACAGTTATATATAATGCTTTTAGGTTTATTAACGTGTCTAGTTAGGGCTTACCTTATTATTAGTAGTGTAGTTCACGTGCGTGCTGTGTCGTTTATACTGTTTTGAATAGTGCTGTGTCTTGTATTATATTCTTCCTGTGTTTATGACGTTGAAGAGGGTGTGTTCAAGTGATGTATAATAAGGTCAAACATGTTGTTTTGATTGTTTGTTTCCCTTGTTTGTTTCTGTTCAGCTATCAGTTTGTTGTGTTTGTTGTAGTAGTATATTTGGAATTCCTCTTTTATGTTCCTTATATTACCCTTATTAGCTTTTTCGATGATTTCCATGACGGTTGATATTGGTCCGTATTGATGACGATTGTTTAGTATGTGCTGAGCGTAAGCGGATTAATCTCTATTTAATCTTATGTTCCTTATGTGTTCGCTATATCGTGTTGATAATTTCCTTCCTGTTTGGCCTATGTATACTTGATGGCAACTTTGGCAAGTTAATTTGTATATATCACTTTGCTCGTATGGGTTTGTGTTGTGTTTTTCTTGTAGTGCTCTGCCTATTGTGTGGTTTGTTTTAAATGCTATCTTAATATTAGTGTTTTTAAATAGTTTTGTAATTTTCCGTATGTAGTTTCCTGTGTATGTGTAGGTTACCCATTTTTGGTAATTTTTACTTATGTCTTTAGGGTTACTTGTTTTTTGTTTTAGTCTATTATATATTTGTGTGATATAATCTTTTTTTATATCCGTTGTTTAGTGCAATATTAATGATGGTGTTTAATTCTTTACTTTTAGCCGTTTCTTCAAGTGGTAATAAAAGTAGTCTGTGTATCCAGTTTTTATATGCTGCTAGTTTTTGTTCTCTAGGATAGCAAGATTTATTATTTATTGTTACGTCTGTTGCTGTGAGTTTTCTATATATTTTCATTTTTATTTGACCCTGTTTGTTGGTTAGATTTAAGTCTAGATAAGTTATTTGGTTGTTGACTTCCTCGTTTAATGTGAAGCGTAGGTTTTTATTTTGCGTGTTAAAATGTTTGAGGATATCCTGGGATGTTATTTTAGTTTGATTATAGATTATGATAATGTCATGAACATATCTGTTATAGTATACAATATTTTTGTCTTCCAATAAGAGTTTTATTTTCCTTTGTTCTAAATGTTTTAGAAAGACTTCCGCCATTATGCTTGACAAAGGCGAGCCCATAGCTGCACCTGATTTTGGCTTGTAGAAGTTCTCGTTATATTGAAAATGGTTTTCCATTTTCAATATTTTCCAAATACTTGGAAGGAAGCAAAAGTAATAACTTTACCAGAACCTGGTAAAGACCCGAAATTCCATCAAAATTTACGTCCGACCAGCCTCCTGTCCACGACAGGAAAATTATTCGAAAAAGTAATTTTGAATTTCCCTTAAAAACACATTGAAGAAAGAGACCTGCTCAGCGCAAGCCACTTTGGTTTCGTGCACGTCACAGCACGACATTGCAATGTATGAGGCTGGCCGACCACGTGACCGTTAATTTCAACAACAAAATGTCTACGGCTGCGGTGTTCTTGGACAGCGAAAAAGCCTTTGATACCACGTGGCACTCAGGCTTGCTGTATAAGTTATCAAAATTGGAATTCTCGAACAGGTTGACCAAACTTATTGGGTCCTTTCTTTCTAAACGTGAATTCAGGGTTTCGGTTGAAGGCCAAATGACAACGCCAAGGGAAATGCAAGCAGGGGTGCCACAAGGTTCTGTCCTTTCCCCTACTCTTTTCAACTTGTATATTAATGACGCGCCCCAAACACATGGTGATCACATGGCCCTCTTTGCGGACGACACCTGTCTCTATGCGACAGATCGCAAGGTGGGTTTTATTGCGGTCTCAGCTCAAGGGAGACCTGGTGTGAGCGCTGGAATATAAAAATTAATGAAGATAAGATTCAGGGGGTCTACTTCTCTCGTGTTCGTCGACCGCCTGAGTCTTGTATCACTCTAGATGGACGAAATATTCCATTTGTAAACAGTGCAAAATATCTAAGTGTAATCTTCGATAAGGGGGGATACGCGGTAGCGTAGTGGTCGCGGGTGGATTTTTTTCAATTGCCCTAATCCTTCCGGCCGCACTAGGCCCTGGGGTTTACCCAGCCTCTAACAGAAATGAGTACCAGGAATTAATTAAATAATTTTCCTGGGGAGTGAAGCGCGGCCCGCGCGTAAGGCTGACAACCTTACCGCCATCTTAAAGCCGATTGTCTAGATAATGTGGGACCTCAACGTCTCACAACCCTATGGGCCTTCACGGCCTGTTACAGGGATAGCTTTATTTTTTTTTCCTTGGCACTAGAGCCCAGTGGGCCTAGGCCTACCTCCATGAACTCCAACTTCAGTTTTTCTAGATCTTACACATTCGGTAGGACTCCTTGGGCGAGTGATCAGCTCGTCGCACGGCCTCTACGTGTAGACAAACACAGAAAAACGCACACAAACATCCATGCCCTCAGTGGGATTCGAACCCACGATCCCGGCTTCCGAGCGAGCGAAGACAGTGCATGCCTTAGACCGCTCGGCTACCGTGACCGGCGATAGCTTTACTTACTTTACTTTAATTTTCGATAAGAGATTTACATTGAGATTGAACATAGAAATGATCGAAGCCAAGGCCTTCAGAACATTCATTAGAGTATATTCCCTATTCAAAAGTGAGCGATTGACCGCTAACATTAAACTGACCCTCCACAAAGCTCTTATTAGATCCGTAATGACTTATGCTAGTCCCGCCTGGGAGTTTGCGGCAGACACCCATCTAGTGAAATTGCCGCGCCTGCAAAACAAGGTTCTCCGCACGATTGGCAATTTTCCAAGGCGCACACCGGTTCGCGATTTGCACATGGCATTCAAAATCCCGTACGTATATGAATATATAACAAAATTATGCAGGCAACAAGCAGAAGTCGTACAACATCATGATAATGAGAATGTTCGCAACATCGGACAAGGCGAAGCCCGCCACAGAAAGTATAACAGGCTTAAACTTGGCGGCGGTCAGGCATACGACCGTTCAAGTGACTAGACTGCCGTTGTAGCGGAAGCTACTAGAAATATGGCATAATCTGCTGCACTGAGCCTGGATTGACAGAGGCCTTGTATATATTGTACATAGAAGTAAGGAATAAGCGTGGATTTATAAATGTATGTAAATACAAACAATAAATGTATTAATACAGACTGACTGACAAATGACAGACCCGACCTCTCGTCAGAGAGGACGCCCCAAATGGACAGGACAGCAACTTTCACAAAGAAGAAAACATCTGGGGCTCGACACCAAGACAGACAGACTGACTGACCGTCAGTTGCAACATGACTTTGACTTTGAGTAGCTGCAGAATTGGCGGCTCCTCATGAAGGGCTCAGCTCCATGAGTAAGCATTATCTTAGTAATGTTAGGGCAGTTTATACAGGAAGTTACGAAGGGTTGCAGCGCTGGACGACTCCAAAACTTATCAAGATTTCAAGCGACATGTCCAACTTTGAACAGATTTCCTGGCTAATTGATCCCGTGTGTTGCGTAAGCAGCGTTGAGATCAGTGCCCGCGCACGCGCCATAGTGTTTCCTGTTATTAGCAAGGCTCCTTAGGTTGCATTCATTGGCTTCTGTACTCGCCCGACATTCAGTCAGGTGAATGCACCTCAGCCAACGGCATTCGATGCCGGACACAACAGCCACACAAAACTCTGTACTAGTGACGTCATGGATTTGTTTTGTTCGATACCCAGCCTAACACACATATAAGAAGTGTGTAATACTTACTCATGGAGCTGAGCATTTCTGGAGGAGCCTCCAATTCTGGAGCTACTCAAGAATTTCCCAGCATTTTATGGAACCCGAAGGTTCATTACTGTGTTCACAAGAGTCCTCCACTAGTCCCTATCCTGAGCCTGATCAATCCAATCTATATCATCCCATCCTATATTTCTAATATCCATTTTAATATTGTCCACCCACCTACGCCTTGGTCTTCCCAGTGGGTCTCTTTCTTTCTGGCTTTCCCACCAATATCCTATACGCAGTCCTTGTCTCCCCCATTCGTGCTGCATGCCCTGCCCACCTCATCCTCCTTGACTTGATCATTCTAATTATACTTGGAGAAGAGTACACGTTATGAAGCTCCTCATTATGCAGTTTTCTCCAAGCTCCTGTTACTTCATCCCTCTTCGGTTCAAATATTTTCCTCAACACCGTGTTCTCAAACACCCTCAGTCTTTGTTCCTCCATTAATGTCAGAGACCAAGTTTCACACCCACACAGAACCACAGGCAAAATTTTAGTTTTGTATAATCTAATTCTTATATTTTTGGACAGCAGACGAGAAAATAAAAGGTTCTGGACTGAATGGTAGCAAGCATTACCCGAGTTCAATCTCCTCTTAATTTCCTCCTGGATCAGTTTCGATCTATTATCGTTGTTCCCAAATATCTGAACTGTGCCACATCTTCAAAACATCTGTTTCCTATCTTTATGTTATGATTTTGCCCTGCATTTTGGTGACGAGACAGCAACATATACTGAGTTTTCTCTGTGTTTACTTTTAGACCAACCTCTTAGGCCCCAGTGGGCCTATGGCTACCTCCATGAACTTCTCCGTTCACTTCGGTTTTTCTAGATCTTACACATTCGGAAGGACTCCTTGGGCGGGTGTACAGAAACTGATGTGAGGGAATAGTCGCGGAGAAGCATTCAATCCCAGGGCCATATTGGGGCTGGAAGGATGAGGTCAATTGAAAAATACCAGTAACCTCATAGGGAATTGAACCCGCGACCTTCCGGCTTGTAGCATAGTGCCTCAACCAACTACGCTTCCGCGTGACCCCTCCACCTTAAGAGAAGTTGAAGATACTAATTCTGAGCACTGGACGTGCAGTTCATCGTGATAATGTAACAACGGCTTGCATCTGTTTGTCTATATGAAATTATGTTTGCTTGTCAAGAAATGCATATGCAGAGATAACATTTCAGTTATCTGTCGTTTTTAAACGCCTGTGTCTGAAGGCACATGTCACACAAGAAATGTCACGTGACAATTTGGCAATGTCTGTCAGTCACAGCTTTCGTGCCTGACCCTATGGCGCAGAAATATTTCTTCAACTAAAAAGAAATGTCAGTTTCAGGTGGTTCTGTGGTTTCAGTTCCTACCAACCGCAGTGACCATATTTATCCATCCGTGGCCTTCCTTTAATTCCGTGCGAGAGAAATTCCCTGAAAGTTGTAGGCAAATTCCAGTTTTGACTACACTCGGACTAAATTGTACAACATTTTACATGAAGACCTATAGGAGTTCGTGCAAGCATAGAAATTGCAAGGCGCGCGCAGGCCTCTAAATGCGGATCTCAGGGGAAAGTCTCACACGAAAATTGTTGACAGAAATGAAGCGCATTTCATGACAGTACATCTTTCCCGCAAATCGTACAGATTTCGAGGTTATGAAAGAAAATATGATATGACGTCCGAAAGCTGGAATAGTGAAATCAGAATAGACGTTCATTGCTAGACAACGACTCTGTAAACATATTCCCGGCACAACGAATATGCAAGTAACAGTCGAGTAACTTCCGTTGCTATACAACGCCTTCCTAACGATAGAGAGGCTGTGTTTCTTCATGGTCCGCGAAAGAAAATTCAGTTGAGAACTGAGCCGGGTGTCTAGACGCCTGCCTGCCGGGATATGGGCTTGGGAACAGAGGAATTGAACTGAGTCGAATCTTCGGAAATTTTAAGAAATGAATTAGGCGGTATAAAGACCTTATGTGTTATTTCCTCTGGATTTGTAGCCAGGAACTCTGACCACTTGACCACAGAGGCGGTCTCTGGTTACTATCAGCACATTAAAAATGAACCAAAACGTAAAGTAATTTAATTTTACGGTTTTTGCAACCGAAATTCCCTGTAATGGCTATAATTCAACTCTGGCTACGGTATCATGAAATTATCACGTAGTCATGTCTCGGTGGTCTTAGGTTAGGCAGTGACGTTTCCTCTAACTCAGACGCAGTGTTTTTACTCTCATGTCTCGATCACTGGATCTCGTTTGGAAAAACAGTTTCTTCACTTCAGCATGAAGACAACAATCTGTTTCTCTTCGGATCCCTGAGTTCTGGTTTTTGTCCATCGTCTTGAAAGAACACAACGTTTCGGAAACTGGATCTGTTTCCGTCTTCAGGTAAGTGGTTGGAGAAGCATCTACTCGAGTGCTTCCTTTACAAAAAGCTGATCTCAAGTCACGGGACTAAGTCCTCTGGGGAGGAGATCTGTTTCTTTCAGAATACTAGCTGATGGACAAAGTCCAGAAACTCAGCTCTCTCTGAGTTGAACCCAGTATCGTCAGAGCCCTTTAGAAGTTTCTAGTACTTTACTGGTGTCACTTCTGAACACTCAACATGCTCATCGTCAGAATATACTGTCCGTAATGTGCAAACATGTCATCGTGGTGTCATGTCTGTGTTCACAGATCCGGGCGGTGTACAATGCTTTCGATAAATTCTGCGATCTACCGGAAGACGCAAGAAACACGTACCGAAGGATTAGCCCCTGCAATCACGGCTATGTATCGCCCGGAACAGAAAGGTGAGGTCCTGCTTTGTAGGTCACTTCACGACTGGCGGTGAGTCAGTCTTGGTAACGAGTCCTTTTTGTGTATCACGGCCGTATTCTAAGTCTCAGGTCCTTTGTTATCTGTTCCCGGCATTCGCAAAACTCGCAACGAAAAGCAAGATAATGTCCCTGTGGCCCGAGCTTCAAGTTAAGTACTTACGGTACTCTGTGCACTACTTACTGCAGAAAAGTTAACACCGTACGTTCATCATGACATTACAGCAAACCGTCGCTAATCCGGTTATAGTAAATCCGGACCGAAATACGAGAAATGCTGTTCATAGTTGAATACGTACTTAAAACGATACGTAGCATTTAAGAAGGCAGATGAGTCACTTGTCTGTTCAGACAAAACGTGACAGTTTCTTCAAACCTGCATTCAAAACACGTACAACTTCTGAGTTTTCTATCGCTGAATAAACGCATTGTCCTTTTATAGTTTTTAAATAAAGGCTGTACAGTAATATTTTTGTATTTATTTTCACCAGCACTACTTATATCATTAAGTTACCATTTACTTGTACTTTCTTGCCTTTTAGGGCTTCGTTTCGCTTCATTAATTCAGATGACCCCGGATTAGGGAGTGTTTATTGTACATCTGAACGTATATGCCCGCCAGACCTCATGCACTGTATGACATTCCACGGCAACATCAGACAGCCTGTAACATTTACCGAGCAGGACTGCGAGAAATATGAAATGTAAACTTTTTCGATCAAACAAATATACGATGCATCATTTTTATTAGCTTGTGATAGAAGAAATAGATTTACGTACATTACACACCAGCGTGGGTAGAAAGGAAACGGACAGTCACAACACATAACACCCGTAACGTATTTTTAGTGCTGGATGGACTATAGCACTTCGCAGCACTGCCACAAACATCTTGAGAAATATTCATGACAGAACGACGAATATTACCTATTAAAAATTATACACATATTATACTATTCCTACGTAATTTTCCCCTGAAATGCGTGGGTTCGAGCACTGATAAGAATAATCATGAAAGCTTCAGTGATGCTACGCAATATTCTGAAATGAATAAAGGGTAGTTTTGTTGTTGTGACTCATCTCAGAGTCATACAACCATGCAGAGAGAGGGTGGGGATAACACTTCATCCTTTAGATTGGGACAAGTGATCTCCACGCTGCGGCCGCATTATCGCTCGATAATAGAACCCCGATTCATATTGAAAAGGAGACTGCAAGGATCCCAGAGCCCTTGGTGCCTGAGAGGAACTTCCCTCTTTCTGCCTGTAGCCAGCTGCTTTACCAACGGAACTATCCCAGTCTGCTTGTTTCATAATTATACACTTTTTGCAAGCTTGGAGATATGACACGCCCATCACGGTGGCCGCACAGTCTAAGGCATGAACCATCTTCGCCCTCTCGAACACCGGGAACGTGGGTTGAATCCCACTCTAGGCATGTGTGTCTGTGAGTAAGTAGCAGGCTTGCCATGGACTGATCCCCCCACCCAGGAGTCCTACCGACTGTGTGTAGGTTAAGAAACTGAAAAAGCGGCAAAGGTCCATAAGGGCTGTAGAGACATGGATATCTGACTGATAGAGATGAGACACAGGTACCAAACTTGAACATATCAATGGCCAAATTTACTTTCCAGTATAAGAAATGCAGTTATTCAAATCACCACTGGACGACCAATGTACATTAATTAAGTTGCAGACTATATGAGTGTTAATACAGTAAATCCTTGCTAATCCTGATCGAAATATGAAAAACGAAAAAGTAGAATGCATTCTTTAAAAGACACGTGGGATTTAGAAGCAAGAGGACTTTCAGACCGTGTTGAGGGCAGCTGCAGAGACTGAAACCACGAAAGAAAATATCCAAGATTGGTTTGATCTGGGTGGAGTCCCTGGATTTCAGATTCTTATCTATTTATAGTCTTTAAATAAATGCTCTACAGTAACATTTTTTATTAATCTTCATCAGCACTACCTATATTATTAAATTTACCATGTGTTTGTTTTTTATTTTTTGCTTTTAATGTGTATATTTTGCTTCATTAATCCGGATGAGCTCCCTGCACCCAATTAATCTGGATTATCGTGGGTTTACTTAACTTATTTGGCGACACATTTAAACCACTGATCACCAGGTGTTACACGTTTTCCACAAACCACTGTACTATTCAGTAACACTGAGTAGTTCAGAACTGAATAGTCCAAATTGCAATTAGTATGTGTGTGTTATTTTATGAGCTGTCTGTATGTCAGGTTATATAGCGTCGAATGGTAAGATGACTGGTAAATAATGGATTGGAAAGGAGCGGTCATGACCTAATCAAGATATTACCTTTGAATTAACCTGCAGGAAAAGCTTCACTGAGGATAGCCAATGTACATCTCAGATTCGAATCAATGACCTCCAACATATAACTACCACCCCACCAAGGTACTTGGTCAAGTTACAGAGTCTCAGTGCAAAGTTACGGGTAGGGAAGAAGGAGTTGTAGTTCTGTGCCGACAGGTTATCTTGCTCCTATCTGCAAATTTCTGAATTTTTCCGGCTGAAACTTGTAGGATGTTATGAATCTTAAGTTTGTGAGAATAGAAGCTGGATGAAACTGGCTGAGGATCACTTCAAACATCAGAGTTGTTAGAGATGTGAAGCTTTCAGCTTCTGTTAAGTTTTGTTTAGTTAGCCGGTCTTTGTTTTCAAATAACTGGGTTATTGTGCCTCATAATTCAGTAATGTTCACCCGCGTTTCGGAGGAACATATCGCGTCTATCTTCAGTGCTCGAGAGAAAGCCAAGCACAAAGCACATGGGAAGCTCTGCTTACTTAGCTCCCTCTTCGACCCAGATGATGGAGGCAATTTGTTACTCCGAAACGTCGGTGAACTTCAGCTGAACTATATGGCATTATATCCCTGAAAATAGTATTCTTCATGGTCACTGCTAGATTTTTTGTCTTATTTAAGTTGTTATTGAAATGTTTCTAATTCTTTGTCTGGCCTCAGCCAAAATTGGAATTAATCAACTGTCAAAAAATAAATGAAAAGAAAATTAACTAATTCTAATAAAAGTACAATACAGTATAATTATTAGTAACCTCAAATTCAACAAATTGCTGCTTGTACATAATCAATAAATGCAACGCACTTCTCATAGGAAATAAACAACCATCAAGTTACTGTTACTACTCTTCCAGGCTTTGTCCACTGTCCAGTATTTTGAAGGAGAATGCTGGATGATAAACAGATCCAGAAAGTTTGTGCAACTAAATGACATTCCATGGCCATCAGAATGATTTAGGACTGGTTTTATTCATTCATTTATACACATTCCATAGGATCTTTACAAGGTCAAAAAACAATCAATTAGATATAGAAATCGTCAAGTAGCTTAATCACGTCTCATTATCTCCTTATTGCTATTTCCACCAGATTCTCAAGAGAACATATAGAGGAAATGCGTCACACATTCAACATCTGTTGGTTAGACCGGAAATTACCAGAAGCTGAAGTACAAGGATTCCAGTCTGTGGTGACATCATTAGCACAAGATTTCCAGAAGTTAGCAACTCTTCTTCTGCGAGTACTTGCTTCAAGTTTAGGTACATACATGTTATACCTAACTACATTCAGGCACATGTCCATTGTTTTAAATTTATCCTTTTCCTGTTTACCAAGCATTGTTCTATCTCCTTTCTTCTCACCGTCCTTGTGCCAAGTTTCCTTTTAATTTATTACTGCTACAAGTCACGTACTGAGCACTGCACTTTGAATTTTATGTTATTACATATTCATTGTATCAAAGCAGTGGTTCAAACAAAAGCAGTAGATCTCAATGAGAGCTTATATTTTATGTACCAATTTTTAATTCCATTTTTGAGGAAATGTAAAATTTGGTTTCAACTTCAAGTTCACGGGTTATAATAGACTTTATGTGAATCAAAATTTTACTTATGTAACAATTTTAATGTAATATAATTGAACTGAATTATATTCACAAATTTCACATGCAAAACACACAATGTCCTTATGTACTTTGATTGCACACTCTCTTCTGGAAGGATAATATTAAGATGGATCTTAGAGAAATAGGATGGGTTGTTATGCACTCGATTCATCTGGCTCAGGATAGAGTCCAGTGGCGTGCTCTTTTGAACATGGTAATTAACCACCGGGTCCCATAAAATGTTGGGAAATTTGTGAGCAGCCAAGTGACTGGCGACATCTCAGGAAGGACTCAATTCCATGGAGGTAGTCACTGTATTAAATACTATAGTATCCGAGGACTTGGTATTACATTTCTATCTGTGAAACAGAAATCATCAATTTTTGTACACATGCAATTATCATAGCCCTGCCTGCTAGTAACATCTTATATTTGCAGATCTGCAAGCAGAATACTTCCTACACTCACACAGCAACATGTTTGAGGAGGGAAATGAATCCTGCATGAGACTGCTTTACTACCCACCACTTGGGGCACCACCCACACCAGGAGTCACGCGATGTGGGGAACACGCAGATTATGGCACATTCACTTTGCTGGCTCAGGATTGTGAAGGTGGCCTGGAGGTAATGGAGACCCTTAACATTTCTTCAGGAAACGTATCTTGTCTGTATAAACAGTAATGTGAAGTCCTGTGGCCAAACCAAGGGGTTTACCTGTTGGGGAGATAATTTGGAGCAGAAAGTACATTGTTCAGATCATCACAATTTTTTAGTTTTGACACTTGTCACCTTTTTAAGAAAAATAAATAACTGTTCATTTATGTGAAGGTAAAGGTAAAGCTACCCCTGTAACAGGCCATGGAGTCCCATAGGGTCGTGAGATGTTGACGCTTCCACATTTTCTAGACAATCAGCTTACAGATGGCAGTGGGGTTGTCAGCGTTACATGCTGACCACCCTTTACCCCCAGGAAGATTCCTGGCACTCATTTCTGTTCGAGGCTGAGTCGACCTCAGAGCCATAGTGTTGCTGGAAGGATTAGGTTACTTGAAAAATCCAGTGACCTTGTCGGAAATCGAACCTGTCACCTTCCGGCTTGTAGCATAGTGCCTCAACCAACTACACTACCACATGCCCCAGTTCACTGATACACCATTACGTTATTTATATTTTAATATTTTAAATTATTTCTTTTAATTACAGTAAATGAGAAGCAAAGATTCTAATGTTATTGGCACTTCTTGAGTTTGAATTTGGTATTACATTTAACACTGGGGTTTATGTACTTGTACAAGGCACTTACATGCAGTTCTGTATACTGCAGGTATCCCAACTGAGATTTGAGCCAAGCACCTCTGAATATAAGTCTAGACTGTTACTACTGTGCCAACCCTCTTGGCAAGGACTGGGATCCGAGAATGACTGTGCTGGCTAGGGCCAGCAGAAATTGTAAACAACACACCCACAGACCAGTACTCTCATCAGAGTACTGTCAGGCAGCTGCCTGACAGTAATAGAAATCTGCTTGTAAGCCACAGAGGGGTGCTTTATTCCAAGACTAGTGGCCAACCATGACTGACCATAAGTCACAACATAAGACTCGACTCGACAGGGGTTATCCAGTGACTGAGGTTAGGTCTTTCTAAGGGACCCAACTGAGTAGGTGCCTTCCCCCTTATCTGAAGATGGAAAGAGATCCAGTTTCTGAAATGTCGTGTTTTCTAGTCTCTAGAATACCAGACAATGAAAAAAAAAGTCCAAAAACCCAGCAATTCTGAGTGTTATACACCTTTGTCAGAACCCTTTAGAATCTACTCATCCATTCATTAATTAAATTCTTCTCTTTCTCACTGCCCATACTTGGGCTCAAACCTTTACTCATTTTCCATGACTGAAAAGAAAAACACATCAGTTAGGTGTGTTCATTTATTGCATGACATAATTTATTCTGTTACACTTGTACACCAGATATCAGTAACTAATGAAATGAAGCATAGTCCTTCTTGAGAAGTTAATCGTTGCTCAGCATGTGAGAAGTTTCCAGCATTTTATGGAACTGCCATGTTCACACGAACTTGCCACTGGTCGCTATAGTGAACCAGAATAATCAAGTCCACCCCTTGTATCATAGTTCTGTTCAAATTAATTTTAATATTAACCTCCTGTCAATGCTTAGGTCTTGCATGTGGTCTCTTTCATTTTAGTTTTCCCTATCAGAACTTCCCTGTAACAGGCCGTGAAGGCCCATAGGGTTGTGAGATGTTGAGGGTCCCTGGCTGAGGGGCTATGCTACAAGCCGGAAGGTCGCAGGTTCAAGTTCCAATGAGTTCATTGGATTTTTTCAATTGACCTAATCCTTGCGGCAGCTCTATGGCCCTGGGGTCGACTCAGACTCTAACAGAAATGAGTATAAGGAATTAATTAAATAATTTTCCTGGGGAGTAAAACGCAGCTGGTGTGTTAGGCTGACAACCTTACCGCCATCTTTCAGCCAATTGTCTAGAAAATGTGGGACCCTCAACGTCTCACAGCCCTATAGGCCTTCATGGCCTCTTACAGGGATAGCTTTACTTTTACTTTTCTTTTTACTATCAGAACTTTGTATCCATTTTCCTTCCTCCTATACATGCTACATCTCCTTATCTCATCTCCTTGATGTATTATCTCAGTAGATGTCAGTATAATATCACATTCTTTTCAATAAAAAAATCACAAGAGAGTGTATACAAATTAAAGGTGTAGATATGAAGTGTTCAGATAGATGATTGAAAGCAACACTGCCTGTTGCTTTCCATCTCCAGACTGGAATTTCACCTTGAAACATTAACTGACCACACAGGTAAAGTTAAGATTTGTACATTTTTAATCGTTCAGATCAAATTATCTTCTCATTTAATGTGCTTCCCAACTTGTTAAAGATAAGAATATAAGTTTTGCCCCCTGTATTACAGGGATGTAAAACTTGGTCTCCCAGTCTGAAGGACAAAAAGATATTGGGCAATAAAGTATGAAGAGGAATACAAGAAGAAGCAGGAGAGAAAGCAATACATCATATAGGATTAATGAATTAAATACACGAAGGATACATGAAATTTGTTTTGAGACCTCTGGATATGTGTAGGAACAAAAACAAGTATAATATTAAAATGGATCATAGATAAATGTTTAATTGATTTAACTGATTCAGAGTAGGGTCCAGTGATATGCTTCCATGTGATGGTAATGGAACTTTTGGTTCCACACTGACAGAAAATTTTGTGTCCTAGTTGATGTTTATTATTCCACAAAATGCGAGTCATTGTGAACAAAGCAGTATACAGAGGAGTGATGTTTTTTATTGAAGGATGCAGCAATGGAGACAGTGCAAACCAGTGCTTTCTTTTCTACTGCCTTATTCCTCTCCTTTCTCCGCCACCATCTTCTCCTGTGTCTTCCCTCCTCCTTTTTGTCCTCAGTTTTACTTTCTCACGTACAAAGTCTGTATGGGAAAATACTATGATCACAGAAAAGAATTAGTCTCAAGATTATGACAGATTTATATGTTTTCATAGCCCCATCATATGTATAATATTTATTACACTGGTTTATTGATTTTCCTCCCAGGTTCAGGCAAGTAACCACAGATGGAGCCGTGTCGGACACCTGCCAGGGTCAATCCTAATTAACACAGGAGAGCTGTTGGCTTCTTGGACAAATGCCACGTACCCTGCCCTGGTAAGTCCCAGGACCGTTACTGTTAGCTTCTTAAAGAATTCCTCTGCAATGTTAAAACACAGAAATGTTAAAAATAGGTAACTTTATGATTCACACGCCTCATTTAATAGTATTAATTGAACTGAAAACATAAATGACCTGAACTCAATAACCTCATTGAGGAGAGAATCTTATAGTGAGCTTTTGTGGTGGCAGCACTGTTTTGAGCCCTGTAACTATACAAATGGTACAGGATCATTCTTGGTATTTACCTGATAAAGATTTTCCGTTGCAGAACTAGGAGTTTCATCACCACTATCACAAAAGCCTGCCATTGGATCCTTTATTTTATCATCTCAGTTTAATTCAAAGCTTCAGAACCTAACATCTTAATACTGTTATCTCATCTGTACTTACAGATTATCCAACGTTAAGAACAGACCACTGCTCTTATTGCACCAGTGATGTGATGTATAATAGACAGTACAGACACCACTGCCATAACAGCAGTCATCCATTCTTACTGTTACATAAGCCATGTGCCTATCATGTGGAATCATTCAATGAGGATTTTACATCTGAAATGCCTTGTCCCATGGATTATCTCATCATGTAATGTGGTGTTTACCAATATTTCAGATGAATATAATGCCTTCATCATCAAGGTAGGATCTTCACTGCCATGAAAACCTCAGATCTCATTTAAACCAAAATGTTGAGTGCCATTTCTTGTTTCTTCTGGATGTAATACATTTCCTACCTATCTTATCCTTCTTTGTATGAACAGTATTATGTTAGCTGAATAAATTGTGAAGCTTGTTGTTAGGAAGTTTACCCCCATTCATGAAGCTCCTAGTTTGAAAGTCTGAATGTCCAGCCAGGATAAAGAGAATGGATAGGGGCTGGATGAATGAGTATTTCTTAGAACAGCTCTTGGACAAACACAGCTTCCCAGTGAATGGGTAGACACCATGTAGGACCGTGTGATGTCTGCTGAACAGATTTGGCCTGCCCACAACAGCTATTGGCGGGACAAGTTATGTTATGCAGTCTTCTGGAAGCATCATTGCACAAGATGATGTTGGATGCTGCTTGGTGCTATGTTCAGAAAAGTAATTCGAGACAGAGTGAAATGATCACAAAGGAGATAAATGATTTTAGATTGCTCTGCATTTGCTGACTGGCCCAAACTGCATGCTGCGTAGTGTGTGACCTCATACCTCTGCAGCACTGCGTTTTAGATGAGTTAATTTTCAAGTCTAAGGCATGTTTCTGTGTATAAGCCAAGAGACCACAGTCCTGCAGTGTTGCAGACACAGAGTCCTGCCAGAGTGGGGTGCTGATCAATCACTTCTTCCTGCTCCCAAGTTTAAGAATGTTTTGAGCTCTTAGGCAAAAATGAAGCTTGACCTTCAGAGTTTTCCTTTATGAGACATGACAAAGGTTGAAGTCAAAGCTCTGTTCACCTTAAAGGCACTAATTTACATGCACAGTGTGTTGTTTAGTTACCTCATCTCTGAGGGCCTAGGTTTGTAAAAGGGATTTTCTTTCATACATCAGAGAATCACAATCCACAGCTGAACAGTTTGAGTTCCATTCTCTCCGACTGTTTCAGTGAAGCTATGAAATTTTCTGGAATACCAATAATTTTGTTTGTTTTACAGCGTCACCGTGTTGTGGTCCCTGAACAGCCAAAAATCCGTTCTAAAGGACGACACAGTATAGCTTTTTTTGTGCATCCAGACAACAACACACCCATCACTCCAATACAGTGCCTGATGACCAAGGCAGAGCAACCTTCACCTAACAGCTGCAGCGTGAAGAACAGAAAATCTCACCATGCAAAACACAATACAATCTACACAGCCTACCAACATCTCCAAATGCGGTTTCGGGAAACGTATGCTTCTTAATGAATGGCAAGTGTTATTATGGAAATAGAAACTCAGTGCACATTTTTCAGGAAGGCACTTTCTTTATACTGTAACATTATTTAATCTGTATTTGTGTGCATTCTAAAAATAAAAGACGAAACACAATGAAGAGGTTTATAACTTGTAATCTAATGCTCATAAAGTGATTAAATCACGGGTAAATTGTGAAATGCATGAAACTTGCTTGCAAGACCTCGAGGGATGTGATCTCTTGGGAGTGGAATAACTATGTGCAGACTGAAGGATAATACTAAAATGGATCTTACAGAAATAGGTTATGAAAATTTGAACTGAAGTTTCTAAAGGCTATCTCTGTGAGCATAGCAGTGAACCTCTGCATTGCATAAAAGAAGGGAATTTCCTGAGCAGATAAATTACTGCTGAATGATGAGGAGAGACATTGTACTACTCAGTCAGAGAGTTCCAACATTATATGAAAACGTAAAGCTGACAAATTCCTTGCTACAACTTGTTCTACATGTATAAAAGCACAACATCGTGAAGGCATAAAGCAGGTACTGGAGGTAAAGCTCCATACATATCTAATATTTGTGTATGGTACATGAATCATGGGCTTCTATTATCATAATATCCACTGAACAGGGGCTCAGTGGGCATCAGAGACATTCTGGATATAGTAACAGTGAAGAGGAGAATGTGAAGTCCCCAATTATAATTGAACTGTGACCATTACAACCAAAACCCACCACTCTGCTATGTTTAGGCATGGGAGGAACTTTACCACACCCACTGTATGAGGTTGCTGTCTCTCCAGTAATGTGCTCTTTATAACACACCAGATGGCGAGAGTGCAAGTAGGCACTAATCCTGTATAGAAAAATAACTTAATTTTGTTTGATGTAAAGGTTGAGAAAATAAATAGAAGAAAGACAAGTTGTCCCTGTGCTTAGTTCTGCAGCAACCCATAAAAATATAGGGGGGGGATCGGAGGTATAGCACCATGCATTCTTAACCTTAGCACGACTAGATGGAGGTGAGTGTTAAGCTTTGCACCCTGGCCACTTTACTTCTAGGGAAAGAGCTCTGGTACCCACAGGATAGAGTGGATGTGTCCCAGAACTGGCTTGAACACTGTGGAAGAGAGAAAAATCTGTCCTTAACAGGTAATAAACTTATACATTTATACATATCTTTTGGTCTTCAGATCTTGATGAAAGCTTATCCCTGAACTTACATCATATGCGTGCACATATGTGTAAGTTTCAGTCAAATTTGCTTTAAAGGCATCACTACTTAGGGGCCTGAATACCTTTTGGAATGTATACACCAAGAATTAAAGTGAGAAAAAGTTCTCCTGAATGAAGGTTACATGGATCAATAAAATACATGTTATGTATTACATGATATGTAAATGAAACTCAATCATTTCGAGAAGCCGGAAAGAAAAATGTACACTACTGCAATTGTCCAGCCCCCACTATTATCCTGAACTTAATGCCTTTCCATTTACAGCACAGTGTGCATACCTAGGTGACAGGTGGATGTCATGTACAAATGAAATGCAGTCATTTAAAATTACCCCAGCAAACACACAATCAAACAAATATAAAAGTGTATGGAAATGTACACTTCTTGTGCTTTCACCTCCTCATTCATAAAACATTGATATCAGAAACTATAATGGCAAGGTAAATGGTAGTACACAAATGTTATCATGCTGAACATACTGGACATGTTCTGCTGTTGGTGACCAAATCAACACTGCCAAGCTAAAGGCTTGTAAGTGCATTACCTTCATGTATAAATCGGCAGTTATGTTCCTCAAAGTTGTTTAAATCAAATTCAAAGCATAGATCTTCATTTGGAGATTTAACAAACCAAATTTGGTTAAAATCATCATAGTATGAGGAAAAAAATTATTGATTGATGAACGCAGAGAAACCAATGGTCACTTAGAAATTGTTAACCAGTATGACTAATAGATACGACAGTTTAATCAGAATGGAGACTTCTGAAATCAATGTAAGAATGGCTTAATTTTCAGGGGTCCACCATTCTGAGGCACAGGACATGGGCAGGACCTGTAAAGTTACAAAACAAAACAACTTCAGTATGAACAGCAACAAACACAAATTGGAACCCGGTTATTATCTCCCACTCCTCCTCACTACATGTTTCGCCCGTATACGGCCATCGTCAGGTGTCAGTATTTGCTAAAACTGTCTCACTGTGTAGTATGTGCAACTTCACCTATCACATGTGAATGTGATACCTCACACTTAAATTAAATGTGACCTATTAAAATGCACTAAAGATCATTAATAATCAGATAAGGCCTGATTAAAATTGCAATGTTTTTGCTTGGGGCTGATGTCCTTTTGTCCCATTGTGACCTATTAAAATGCACTAAAGATCATTAATAATTATTAATGATTATAATCAGATAAGGCCTGATTAAAATTGCAATGTTTTTGCTTGGGGCTGATGTCCTTTTGGCCCATTATCCTTGTGTTTGGATTCGTTTTTCCAGGGGCATGAGTGTTGCGTGTGTGTAGTTCCTGATCTTGTTAGTGCAGTTATTATCTGCAACACGTAAAGAATATATTATTATTATTATTTTTCATTTTGTTTTTTTATGCATTAGTTTGTTTCTTTGTACTCACTTTGTACTTTTTACTTTAGTGATTGTGTATAAGTGTGTTTAGTTAACTTTTATATTTATTGAAATGGCTTAAGAACCATATAACATTAAATATTCTTAAATTTAAACAGGTTTTTGAATTTAGGTCCAAATGATGTTAGGTGAAATAGTGTTACTATGACTAAGAGTTCTCATGGTAAACTTACCATTACATATTACAAAAACTACATGTAAAATCACAGAGTTAATTTATTTTTGTGTGAAAGTACTTCTAATTACAGGCACTTTTTGAAATGGGCATTATTAATTTACATGATTATAATACAATTATTAGATATAATCTAACGGTATAAAATTTAGTAATTTAATAAACTTAGAATTGTACTAATTAAATATTGATATGAATAGCAATGGACTGTAACTCATATAGCAGGCCTGTCTATATGGATCATCTCAATATGTGACTAGTACAAGTATTGAGTGCAGAAACTCTTCATACCACATCACATGTAACTGCTCCAGGTTCTGAGGATGAACTCTAGAAAATGCTGCAAAATTTGTCCACAAACCTTGACGCATGCTTGAAGGCGGTCTGTTCCAGCAGTTATAATGAAATATGGAATGTTTTGTCACATTTTTACTGTTATCAGTAATAAAGTTCTGTTTGGTTAGAGAGAGAGAGAACTCAGCAATGCATGCAGTCCCCTAAATAAGAGATGTGCTGTGTTACTTGAGGGAATCAGAGACATTAGTAAGTGTAATAAACAAGAATTGTGTCAACTGTCTAATAAAATGACTGTTCAAGAGAAATCTGTTTCTGGGGTGGCTAGTGAATACAGCTAGTCCCAAGTGTTCATGGCACTTATTTTCTTGCAGAGCATTATGAAAACAAGGATGCTGCACTGAGTATGTTAACTCAAGTGATAACATATGTAACAGCCTCCACTCCTTAACCTAGAAAAATTCCTGAGAAATTCTCATAAGTCCAGTTTCACGGTTTGGATTCACTTAATCTGACTCCATCCTATATTACATGTGGCCCCTTCAGTTAGATTCCAAATTCTTCTATCGCACATTCCCAATTATCCATACTAATTAAGGGGAAAATGACACAAATAATAATAAAAACACAGATAACTGAAGATTGGGGTGAGTTTGGGAGAACATGGAGAATACTGAACATAGAAATTCGGAAATGAACACATTCTGTCTGATTTGCTAAATTACCTTGAAAATCATGAGATTTATGCAAATGGTCTCCTGAACATAAAATACGTCTCAGAATTAGTGAGTTTTGAGACTTTTTCCATTGTCCGGTATTCTAGAAACTAGAAAACATGACATTTTGGAAACTGGATCTGTTTCCGTTCTCGGGTGAAGTGGGGGAAGACACCTACTCAGTTAGGTCCCTTAGGGAGCGGTAACCTCAATCCCTTCACCTGAGGATGGAAACAGATCCAATTTCTGAAATGTCGTTTGTTCTAATTTCTAGAATACTGGATGGAAAAAGTATAAAAAAAACAGTAATTCTGAGTGTTATACACCACTGTTAGAACCTTTCAGAATAAAATATGTATTTCATTTTTCTCTACAGCTTTTGTTCAAAACATTTCTTTTTCTGATGCACATTTAGTGAGATATCCATAAAGATATACTTGCAAGTCATCATGTGAAGGTTATTAAAATTCTATGATCTGAATAAAAATTAAAGTAGCTTGTCAACAGTTTGTAAAATTCTCAAATATCAAATGTTGTGAAAATTGAACTAGCAGTTCTCAAGTTTTCTCACGTGCAGCCAGACTGACTGAACAAACTTAATAAGCATTCTGCGTGGTTGCTAGCACTCAAAAGGCACACAGGTAAGTTTAAAACCAAGTAACTGTGGCATACTGTATTTTTGATAGGCTAATATGACCTATGTGCTTGACACTCATCTATTTGTAAACACTGTGATAACGTGCAAGATCTGGGATTCCCACAGTGGCAAGTATCAAGCTATAGAATGAACCAACAAGTTCTTCCAAAATGCTGACACCTACTACCAAACTACTGACATCCCAGAAGACTAACTTAGACTGGAACATCTTCTAGGACTGTCAGATATCAGAATCTAAACAAGTCAGAGACTAGCTCTGTCTCTTATAAAATGGCGAACTTTCAATTGCCATGAAGACTTCAAGTCTTATGCTGGCTATATGGCCTTTTTCTGCTGTCAAAATGAAATAAATTCAGTTTCTATCAATAGTTTAATCATGATTATCCACCTACTGGAAGACATTTCATATCAGATGTTTTCTTTTCATTACTTGGGTTCTATTTCAATACAATTCTATGATTTGCACCTTCCTTTCCTTTTCTGGTCTATCTTAACTGTTCTGCATACACACCAGTCATCAAATTATGAACCAGGGTCACTCTATGACAACACTGCAAGGCACTGTTCTGTGAAGTAATGAAATATAATGAAACAGCATTTGCAACAAAGTTACCCTGTGCTGTCACAATATGACTCCAGTTTATAGTAATATTCCATTAATATTTCCTGTGGCCAACATCCAATTTTCTTCCCAAAGACTGTATCTTTTTCACAGAAGCAATATTTTACATTTCACATACACACATAAACATCACAATATCATAAATGTCATTATCGAGAAAGGAAAATTGGTTGAAATGTAACAACCAACGTTGTTTCCTAAGTTACAAATTTAAACTGAAACAAAATGCTATGAAACATAACACTCAATGCACAATAAACAGCAATCATGTATCAATGCTGAAAATCAGCAGCGTTCTCCTGCCCTTCAAATAAGCTGACATGATTCCTGTAATTTGCAATTCAGTTCAGACTGAGCTCTAAAATTCGGCAAACATATATTTGGAATTTCTGGGGGGGGGATAACCATTTCTGATTAACCCTGCATTTAATCTGCCTGGGGTGGGGGACCAGTAATGGTCACTTAACACCATTATCAGTGAACATTCTTTTTGAGATTATTATTGCCTTAATGTAATTTGATGAGATGAATATCACTGGAAAAATAAGTATGTAATATTGCTTTAAAGTATTCAAACATCTCTACCCTGATCTACTTGCAGGTTGCTTGAATGCCTTACTCTTCAACCCTAAAGATGAAAGAACATGTTTCTTTGAAATGTTTGTGAACTTCTACCAGACTGTTGTATTTTCATAACTAGGACAATCAAATAAATGAAGTAAAAATGAATACAATACACCTTTAGACTTTATATTAGTGACATTCCACGTGTGTATCTCTTGTAATGAGCACATACTGTGGTAACCTTTTTCTTGACCCAAATGTTTAATAATTTCTGGTGTTACATTTCCAATAGCTGCTACAATCCTGTTTTAATATATAAACGTTGTGAATATGCGCTATGGCTCCATGAACTGGAGTCATGTGTACCCACAAGAAAGAAAATCAAGAAGTGTTCATTTCAAGCAGTTCAAACAAAGCTACCAAAAAAGGTCTGTTATCTTCTTTTTAAAAGCGTCCAATTCCTACACATTATGGTAGCCTCAAAGTAAGATAGAAGAGTGTGTGGGTCAAGACAGAACACCATTTCAATGTCTGCCATGTAACAGAAAGGTGATACATGTGGACCTTCATTAACACAAATTTTATGTCTTTTTTTTTTTGCATTCAGTTACACATCATGGCTACAAAAATACAAAATTTGAAACACCAATCATATTTTGTGGACATGCATCACAATCTACAGATCTAAGTATCAGCTGAGGTGAAGGTTTTGATTAATATTTCCAGTCCTGGGTGTCTGAATGGCTGGCCACTGCTATTTATCCTAGAAATGCCATTAGTCTTACTTCTTACACTCTCGTATTTCATTTGCATTCTTTGAAATGTTAGAAACGTTCACATCAGAGAATAGTGTGTGGTTTCAGTTCAAAGAATACACACTCCACTGATAGTTCTAGAGTATTACCAACATTAAATTTATATGGAATTTTATAAAAGGAAGGCACCTTCTATCATTTGTACGAGTATTTTGTAACATACTGGTTTGCATAACAGTGCACCTTCAGAACTGTGCTATTACAGGTACAGGGTGAGTGTTTCTCTTGAATACACAGTGCAATTTCGTCAACAAGTTATAGTCAGAATATCTTGTTGCCCTAGGATCAGTGTATAATACCTAGGATTTAATTTTGCTTTTATCATTTTGTTTATTCTGAGATGGCTTGATATGTTCATTAAAGATGAGCAAATAACAGATATTCAAGACACAATTGACAGTGATGACTGATTTCCATTCTTCTGTGATGATGATGTACCATAACCCATGCCCAAGGTTACTGCCACCAGGCATGTCATTCCTGTATCCTGTGAAAGTGACAAGTCAGACAAAGAAGCAACTGTTACACATAATGATTTGGTGCAAACTACAGGCCAAGACAACTAGCAACCCTAACAGATGACATGTCATGAAATCAAGGTCCAAAACACACACTGCCATAAAATAACTTATCTTTGCTTGTTGTTTACTCTGAACATTTACAGAAACAAACTGGTAAGTACAAAGCTTTCTACAGCACTTGTCTGAGTTCAGGATCCTCTGCAAACAGGTGGAACAAACAATATTTCCCTTGCTTAAATAGAAAGATTCATTGGTTGTTTACTGACTGTGGGTGTAATCAGGAAACCAGCCATTGCCTCATACTGGTTTATATCACATCCACAGTTCCTGTCCTGGGTTTGTCATACATTCTCCAGTTGTTATCAAAACATTTCAACCTCATGGATGGGAAAAATCTTGTCAATCCATCAAAATCTTGATATAATTGGTGTATCAAGACATAACCTGTGAATAGAGCCTTCTGACATCACTGTTCCCTGCACCAAGATGGGTTCAGCAGGAACATGCGTGCACACACATGCACACAACAAATGAACGCCATTAGTGGTGGAGTATAACATTTAGATGTTCTGTGATACTCCTGTACGAAGGGGGACCCAAAAATAACCGGAAACGACCTGTTGCGCGCGCATGCTTTGTAGTTACGAGTTGTGCTGCTAGGTGGTGTTAGCTGGGGATCTCCCGCGACTGTTAGTGAGCTGGCGTCAGTCTGAGTTAAGTGGTTTGTCTGTGGTGCTCTGTTGTGTGCATTCCTGTTTCAACCCTTTGGCGATTAGTGAGATGGCCGACCAGAAGGAACAAAGAGTGTGCGTGAAATTTTGCTTTCTGTTAGGGAAAACTGCACTTCACTCTTCAAGTCGCGGCAAACATTCACGCAGTTTTCTCTTTGGTCATCTCCGAGCAAGCGAGGAACAAATTTTGCAGATACCCGTCTCATGTGCAAACCTTCGGTTAAAATTCGCTGGACCGTGCTCCATGAGATGTTCGTTTCCTCAGAAAGTGGTCAATGGTCTTTCGATGATCTTCATCAATTTTGTCTGAACAGATATATGACTCGCCTGTCTTCCTAAATGCCATGTGCCCTTCAATGTACGTATTAAATTGTGAAGAGCAGTTTTCATTTTTCATATTTAAATCCAGATTAACTGTAACCAGATTATCGAGCGTTTACTGTATGATCCTGGAGGGACTGAGGAAAACCATAAAAAATTAATGTCCCGGCTGAAATTCAAACCAGGCACCTCCCAAAAACAAGTTAGCTGCATTACTGTTTGAGCCAATTTGTGGGCTGGGGGAGTGAGTAATTTTTGAAAGTGGAAATGTGTCTGAAGCATATGCCAGTACATGGTGTAAGTTGTTACAAATGATGGCAATGCCTTGTACGGCAATAAAAATTATATTGAGAAAGTATGCACTGTATTATACTCGTATCACTGTACAGAAAACAAAAATGTCATAGGATAAAGAAGGCTCTTTGCCAGATTCACAACATGCAGCATACTCCATGCTACAATATCCTTACTAGTAACTGGAAAAACACACATAAATAACATGAAAACATAAATAATCAAAGTTCTGGATGGTATCAGGAGACCACGGTGATTGTTGAATGTAGAAATTCAGAATGTACACACAGCACCCAATTCAGTCAATCACTACAAAAACGGGGGGGGGGCAGTGACCATAATATTGTCATGTGTTGGGTATGTAATGCGAAAAATGACATCACGTCATTGTGGATATAGCGAATTTATTGCACAATCGCTCTTACATAGGTCATACTGAAAGTCATGAGCAACAATTTTTTGTAAAGTAACATGCTTTATTATTGACAAACCAAATACAACCCCTCAATCTACAGACCTTTCTTTATTTTTCCACATAATCGCCACTTCTTTGTACACATTTCTCCCAGCGTTCTGGGAGTGTGAAAATTCCCCTTCTGTAAAATTCCGTTCCAGCCATATGAAGACATTGACGCACTGCTTTCTGAATTCAGCATGCTTATGGAAGTTTATGCATGGGTGTGAGCAGTGTACGAAGATGGGTGAAACATTTTAAAGATTGGAACACGAGCATCGAAGATGAGCCTTGGAGTGGTCGTCCTCGAACAACCTCAACTGAACACGACAAGGAAAGAGTGGATGAGATCATTCAAGATGACAGGCGTATGACAGTGGGCACAATAGTCCGAAAACTTGGAATAGGGCACAGTGCAGTACAGATAATCGAGAGCTTGGGCTATAGGAAAGTTTGTGCTCGTTGGGTCCTGCGGTTATTGACCGAAGACCACAAAGGTCACATTGGAAGCAATTGCAAAGATGGGGTGGGAACTTCTTCCACACCCCTCCTACAGCCCTGATCTGGCACCCTCTGACTATGATCTTTTTGGATTTGTGAAGGATCAGCTGCGTGGACAACGTTTTGAGACATGGGAGGCAATTCAGAGAGCAGTGCGTCAGTGTCTTCGGATGGCTGGAATGGAATTTTACAGAAGGGGAATTTTCAAACCCCCAGAACGCTGGGAGAAATGTATGCAAAGAAGTGGTGATTATGTAGAAAAATAAAGAAAGGTCTGTAGATTGAGATGGTGTATTTGGTTTGTCAATAATAAAGCATGTTACTTTACAAAAAATTGTTGCTCATAACTTTCAGTATGACCCTCATACATTTACACAATTTACAGTCTCACAACTATTGCCATCGGCAGTATCACAAATACTTCTCCTGTAGTCATTTCCATTCACTCGATACAAACTCAATAACAATGGACTTCAACTCACTCTGGCAAATGCTAGACTGCAACTGACTGGTTATGCTCTCTCACTGATGAATACTCCTGTTATGTAGCTTCTGCACTGACAACACAAAAAACAGTTACACGATAGCTTTCACTGTTGCGTGACATCGTGTTTACCGACTGCCTAGCAACAGTTGCTGCACAGGCTCCCGTTGCGTGACGCCATGTTTACAAAGGTGTTGCTGGGCAACACTGCGTAGCAACCAGCGCGCTTCTGCACGGATAAACACCACTTTCCTTACTATTGCGTAAGTTGGCAACCAACCGTTTATCAAGGGTTTGTCTTCGTGGTAGCTCGTTCCACCTCCCATTGCCCAGCAACAGTTAGACATGTCACAATATGTTTTGTGTTTCTCTATGCCTTTTGTTGGAAACACTTTTTGTTCTGATAAATATTTAACAAGTTATGTTCAAGATATTCTTGGATTGTTTTAAGCTTACTGAGAGGTCAACAGATGACTGAGCAAACTTAAACGGCACTCCATAAAGTTGCCAAAGTCACCCCTTAAGGGGGGGGATTAAAGGCACACAGATAAGCAACAAACCATATGCTCCATATATGTATAATATACATACACATAACAGAAACCTCCATCAACAGTTGTACAGCTCTGGCTAACAATACATCAGAGCCTGACAATTCACTGTCTGTGGGTGAAGAGATAATTTAACCAACTTACGACCACTGATAGCCCATACTGCACCTTAGGTACGTACCTGCCAGCTGCATTATACGAAAACACATTTTTCCACTATACAAACTTTGCCTACAAGCAGCGGTTGCTTGGTTGGTATAGTTCGCTTGTGGACTAAAACCATGGAGTTTGTTTGTTTGTTTGATACCAATACAAATAACTGTCCAGGAATGAATAGACTTATGAAACACAAGTACATGAATAAGAAGGCACATTAAGATCCAAAACATTTATTTAAAATCCAACAGATGACCAGAAACAAAACAGAACTCTGTTTTTCATCCAAATGGTCATGTAATGCAACTGTGTTGAGCATGTATTAAGGACATCACATAATGCTGCCAGGTCAGTGCTACTTAAAAATCAGCCATTAAAAGTTTGCTGCACTGTACTGACACTGCATACAGTCATGGAGTCACATTAATGCCATGCTTTCCTTAGTGACTTATGTGTCGTGTGGGATCAACCGAAGAATTACACGGAGCATTTAACAAGCACTCTTCATTATGTTTTTCAACAAGGAGGAATGCATGGAAAGATACTTTTGTGGGCACAACCTGTGCTCCTTATTTAATCCATTTACATCCACAAGCTCATACATAAGGTACTGCAAAACTGGCCTGTTTCACACTCATATTGTGGCATATAGATCTGTTGCTAAGCAGTGACTCTGTAAACAGTGACTATTGCTAGGTAACGCCTGCAACAACAGAAGAATTGTGATTTCTATGTGGTCCGTGCCGAGATGTTATAACTGGAAGGTCTGGAGGTTAGTCAGTTCTGTACAGGAGTCTGTGAAGAGAGGACTTGAGCTGGAGGCAAATGAATAACCATTATTGGAGCAATTACCAGTAAACATCTAGTAACAGACTGAGAACACTAGACTGTGTGCTCTAGTGAACTGTAAAGTGTGGAGATTAGCGATGGAACTACAGTTATTTGTAGTTATGACCTATAAGTGGTAAATAAATGCACTGACCAATCGAAAACCTGTCTATAGCCACACACATACTACTAGATTTAACCCAGTCACAGCCATAAACTCCTACATGAGGTACTGTGAAACTGGTCTGTTTCACCATGTCCACATGAACATGTGTTCACTCATCCTGATGCCTGATCAGGTTACAGGTGGAAACTGGTCTGTTTCACCATGTCCACATGAACATGTGTTCACTCATCCTGATGCCTGATCAGGTTACAAGTGGGTCACTGCCAGGAAAACAGCATGTTATAACTCATTGCCAAGCAGCAGTCAACACACCAATGGACTGGCAAAATAGCAATCATGTCACTTATGTTTCTGTGTGGTCTGTGTGGACCCTATATAACGAGGACCTGTTGTAGCTTAGATTAGTTTGCAGTACAGTTGAGAGCACAAGGATGGGAATGGAGTCCATCCTCGGTGAATTGTGAAGATCAGTTGAGTACAGATTAGGACAGAGGAGTACAGAGTAATTTAAGACAAAATAGCATGAAGATTTCATAGGGATTTGAACTACTAGTTTCTCTGTTGAGATCTGTTGCCAGGAGGCAACTAGTGAATACAGAGAATCCTAGTGCGTGTGCAACAACCAATTATAATTAAGAGCGACTGTAATCGAAGTGACAATAAATCCAATAATCCAAACTAGAACCTGTTATTTTTGTCACATGAACCCCCATTAACATGACAATACACATATATTGACATCTGGTTGAGAAATTAATAACCAGTACCATCATGCAATGTAATTAGAGATCTGCTTCATTTTGTAAAAAATCTGCTGGTGACACTACAGTCCATTCGCGGAGACGAGAGAGTCCTCGTAAACAATTGCACGTGGTATCTCCTTCGCTGTTTGAATGAAATCATGCAGCGATCACGTGATGCACGTACAATTGCAGGGACGTCCAAAGTTCACTCTTCAGTCTGAATGCAGGTTAACGTGCGTCCGAATGCAGTGAGTACACTGAAGTAACTGCGCGCTTTGTCCACTCCTTGCTGTCAGCTGTGGCGACGTGGGGCTTGCTTTGTTTACGCTAACTGTCTCGTCTCCGCGAATGGACCATAGGAAAATATTTCATGTTGCAGACAGATTAAACTGCAACTGCACAGGTAATATACGCATGAGTATTAACATTACAGCCCTCTCTCACTAAAGTTATACAGCAGTGGCTACTTGTCTTCACGCAACTCCTCCTCCTTGGAATATGCCTCACTTCTATCTGACAAGTCTGCCCTTTCCTGATGCCTTCAGCTTCTGCTGGTAGATTATGTGTGCATTTGCTGCAACAGAAGAGCAATGTAAGAACAATTACTCATACATTACTTTGCCACAAGGAGCACGACGGCTATCCGGAAAATAAACTCCAGTGATCTGTTAACAAAACAAGCATTGAGAAAAATGTTATTACATACAAAAAAAATGTATATTTAAGCTATATCTCAACGTAGTCACTGATGGAATTGAGGCACTTACTGTGTGGGGGAATAAGTTTTTGTATGCCCGTGTCGAAGAAGTCTGCCACCAGTGAGCTCAGCCATGGTTCAACACCTTCCTTCAACTCCTCATTATTGTTGAAGCACTGTGATCCTAACCAATTCTTCAGGCAGGTAAACAGGTGGCAGTCACTTGGAGTGAAATCGGGGCTGCAAGGAGGGTGGTCAAACAACTCCCAGTTGAAATGCTCCAGCAGTAGTCAAGTGCAAGCAGCTGTATGCAGATGCACATTGTCATGGCGGAGCATTACACTGGATGTCAGCATTCAATGTATGCAGTTTTTTCAGTGTTTCATACTACAAAATGTGGCTGAGCTCACAGGAACCAGACTTCCTTGACACAGATATACAATATTATTCCCTGATACTAGTGCCTCAATTCCAGTGGTGACTACGTTGAGAAGTAGCTTAAGTACGTATGTATTTTTTTGTATATAATAAAATTCTTTTATCACTGCTTGTTTTGTTAACAACTCACTGGAGGTTACTTCTTGCATGGATCTCGTATATGCTGATTCACTCAAGAGGCCTTGAATTAATAATTATATATAATGCAATAATTTGCCAATGTTAATAAACTTTGCAACAATGTGTACTTTGTAAAACTGACCCAGTGCCTGCCTGCCTGGTACCACTTCCTGAATAAAAACATTACCTGCAATCCCTCCTCCCATGCTGGCTATGACATTCACGATCATTGGGTATCATGTCAGTCTGTCTCTCCACATGGAAGGAAACCAATTTCAGTATCTTATGTACCCCAATTTGAACAAAGATGGGAAAATGAATCGAAGGTTTTTATTTAGGTTAAAAAAGAAAAGTTAAAAATTGTCCCTCTGCCTTATTTAAGCATCACACCACGAAGACATATGCAGGAGAATTTTCGAGACAAGAAGATCCTCTGTAAGATTTGAGGTTTTCACAGCGGTGACTATGAAGAAAGCAGTCTTCTGGGATTTCGCACCGTGTATATGTGGTGTTAACCGACGTTTTGGAGGAACGTATCGCCTCCATCTTCAGGGTAGAAGGAAAAATATATGAAATTAGCAAGCAAAGAGACCGTGAGAACTGGTCTCTTCGCCTTCGGATTTCTTATATTTTTCCTTCTATCCTGAAGATGGAGGCGATACGTTCCTCCAAAACATCGGTTAACACCACATATACACGGTGCGAAATCCCAGAAGACTGCTTTCTTCAACAAGATCCTCATTCTCTGTTTTACCAGGGTGTGGGTAGAAGTTATGTGTATAACCATTCCTACTGTAAGACAGCACAAGCATTTTCAGTACAAATTTCACTACTTTCATAGTGCTGTATGTTTTTGTGAGATACCCTCTTCTTGAATGTTACTAGCTTTCATCAGCAGCTACAGCATCAATGGGTCAGTAGTGGAGGATGCATTTTGACTTCCTTTTCAGTTGACTTTGTCCCATGCTGGTTCCAAAGCAGGAGCTGGATCTCATTCCCTGTGAATACATCTTAAAAGAATGGCATTTTTCTGACTCATGCTTGAGACAAGCAGCCATGAACACTAAGCACCAAATGCAGCCTGTGTTTATAACACTATGCAGGGCCTTGTTGCCAGCCAGTGATTCTAGCTCTCTTAGTCAGGGACATGTTCTGAACTCTCTGCTTTTATTCAGTACTGTTTCCAACAATTCCACATAAAAGAAGGGATTCAAATATTTAACAGACTGAGCTGTCTAACCAAATCTGACAGTACATGTGCTTCAAATATAGTTATTATGAAATCAGAAAAGTTCTGCTTCATCTAGGGTCATGTAAGTTACTTCCTTAATGCAGCTGGCCAAGTCTTGCTGTTACTTGTACCACTATTGCTCTGCCATTGGTGTCAATATGTGAGCTGTCACTAAAATTAAAGTCTAACATATTTTAACTCATACGCCATGATGGGTAAATATAGGCAGTAAACTTAGAATATGATTTATATGAGTATCAATTCACACACTCAAAGCACAACTCCTACACCTAAAACTTAATACTCTGTCATCTGTTTGCCTCTGTGGCACCACAGACTTCCTCTGAGCATCATATCTGGGTACTTCAAATCAATTCCTAAGGTAGGGACTGTGGTAATCAAGGAGGATGAGATGAACAGGACATGTAGCATGAATAGGTGAGAAGAGGAATGAATATAGGATATTGGTGGGAAGCTAGAAGGAAAGAGACCGTTAGGAAGACCAAGATGTAGGCGGGTAGACAATACTGAAATGGATCTTAGAGAGACAGGATGGGATGGTACAAATTGGATTGATCTCGCTCAGGATAGGGACCAGTGGAGGGCTCTTGTGAACATTCTAATGAATCTTCCAGTTCCATAAAATGCTGGGAAGTTCTTGAGTAGCTGCACGATTGGCGGCTTCTCAAGAAGGACACAACTCCGTGAGTGAGTGAGTGCGTGCGTGGTAAATTGAAACTTTCTACAGATTTTGAATACATGCAGTTTGTATGTGTAGGGTGAGGGGTAGCTTGAGATACGTTTCTGCTTCGGACGAGTTATGTCTGCTACTAGGATACAGACATTAATGTCTCCCCCTCAAAATAGTCAGTTACACTGATGCTATGAGAGATAATCAGAAAGGTACTTTTATGAGCATTAAATTGCCTGCATAAGTTTTGTTTGGAGGTCCTCCGTCATACACTGTACAGTCCAAATCTGGTCCCAGGTGACCACCACCTGCTTGGGCAACTGAAAAAATATCAGAAATTGAGGCACCAGAAATAACAAGGACATAACTCCAGGCAAGGATGCACAATTCTTCCAAGATGGTATCATAAACTGGTGTACTGGCAGGGTAAATGTCTTGATATTCAGGACGATCATATGTAAAAGTGACTTGAGTGTATGTCACAGCCCTCAGTGTGCAATATATTGGACTTATGTATGATCTGAGAGAAATGAACCTAGGATAGGTACTTTCCAATCCACCCTTGTACTGCAACTGCGCAAGTGCAAGCAATACTGGGGCAATATATCACTGTATTACTGTGCACTGTATATCAGGGTTTACTGAATTCATTATTTCTGTTGGGTTCTAAAGTTTAATTTAAATCGGTTTCTCACTCTTCCTCCTCTTTACTACCCTCTTCACATACCTTGCTACGGTGAACCATTTTTTTTAACACATAAGCCATGCTTCATAACACATTCTATACACAGTCAACAACAAAAATGTAGCACATCCTGTTATTATTATTTATTTCATCCATAGCTGTAGAGAATTACAATTGGACATGTCAAATACGAGGGTCATACTGAAAGTCATGAGCAACAATTTTTTGTAAAGTAACATGCTTTATTATTGACAAACCAAATACATCACCTCAATCTACAGACCTTTCTTTATTTTTCCACATAATCGCCACTTCTTTGTACACATTTCTCCCAGCGTTCTGGGAGTTTGAAAATTCCCCTTCTGTAAAATTCTGTTCCAGCCATCCGAAGACACTGGACGCACTGCTTTCTGAATTGCCTCCCTTGTCTCAAAAACGTCCCCACAGCTGATCCTTCACAGATCCAGATCACGGCTATAGGAGGGGTGTAGAAGAAGTTCCCACCCCATCTTTGCAATTGCTTCCAACGTGACCTTTGTGGTCTTCGGTCAATAACCGCAGGACCCAATGAGCACAAACTTTCCTACAGCCCAAGCTTTCAATCATCTCCTGTACTGCACTGTGCCCTATTCCAAGTTTTCGGGCTATTGTGCCCACAGTCACATGCCTGTCATCTTAAATGATCTCATCCACTCTTTCCTTGTCGCGTTCAGTTGAGGCTGTTCGAGGACGACGACTCCGAGGCTCATCTTCAATGCTCGTGTTCCCATCTTCGAACACTGCTCGCACCCATGCACACACTTCCATCAGCAGCTGAATTCAGAAAGCAGTGTGTCTGTGTCTTCGGATGGCTGGAACGGAATTTTACAGAAGGGGAATTTTCAAACTCCCAGAATGCTGGGAGAAATGGGTACAAAGAACTGGCGAATATGTGGGAAAATAAAGAAAGGTCTGTAGATTGAGGTGGTGTATTTGGTTTGTCAATAATAATGCATGTTACTTTACAAAATTGTTGCTCACAACTTTCAGTACGACCTACGTATCAACCACCTCACATCAAAAATAACATAACATTCACACAGTGATTCATCACTATAATACAGCAGTACATTTCAAAATACATTTTTAACTTAATTTAAGAATAACAAATATTCAAAAAAAAAAGACATAAGAATATTTTAAATATATAGACAGATTTATTAACAAGCAATTTACGTCAACAATTAATAATAAATACTCCAACAAAGGCATAAAAATATACAGACACTTCATATGAACAAAATATGCTCAGCAGATTAGCCCAAACCATTAGCACTATTGCTGTACCTTGTGTTGGGTTTCCCTATGTCCATCTTCACCCTTGTTTCCTCCTCTCAGCAGAAATACAAATATAACCTTCCTACACAATCTCCAATGCAGCCATGGATGCAATGTATGGAACATGAGCTTTCGCCAAGAAGACATGCTGACAACACTTTATACAAATTTAAAACCCTGTTACATTCTGGAAGCCGGTCATAGTAGCCACATGGTCTAAGGCACGAACTGTCTTTGCTCACTCAGACACTAGGATCGTGGGTTCAAATTCCACTCAGGGCATGCATGTTTGGTGTGTGTATGCATTTATTGTTTTGGTAGAGACCTTGTGACAAGCTGATCACTTGTCCAAGGAGTCCTACTATTTGTGAAAAATTATTACAGAACTGAATAAGAGGCCTGGGCCCTGAATGGGCTGGAAGAGCCATTGAAAATTATATATATACTGGAAAGCTATCCATGCCCACCTTGCCCTCTTCTGATGCGGTCACCAAACAGCATCTTCTGTCTGAACTCAGCAGCCCTTTCTGCCATAGACTTCGGAGCCCTCATCAAGTTGTCAAGTGGCATCACACCAAATTCTGTTGCTCCACAAGTGCTAAGTGGGATATAGTCAACATCACTCTGATACCTGAAATCTGAAGGTGCAAATGAAAGATGCCAATTTTGAACACAATATTTCATGGCACAATTCATATATGGGGGGGGAGGGGAAACCATGTTTCATGGTCAGTGATACAAAATAACTGCAAAATTAGGCAAAGCTATCCCTGTAACAGGCCATGGAGGCCCTTAGGGTTGTGAGATGTCGAGGTTCCCACACTTTCTAGACAATCAGCTCACAGATGGCAGAGGTTGTCAGCTTTATGCACCAGAGTGGGGTCACATGCCAGCAGACAGCAACCTTAACCCTTCACTGTCGGCAGGCATTTAAATTAAAATACCTATCACCTTTCCTATTACATTTAACTGTTATATTTACATACCTTGTCTTTTAACTTCTACACTTCCAGATTTATTGTGTTTCTTATGTGACCTCTCTTTAGACACTGCCTCACTGTCCATGTTCTGCAGTTTCACTGGAATCTGATCGGGTAAATATTCTAAAACATCATCCGGAAGTTTCTTCAGGTTTCCAAATTCCTGAATATGAAAATAAAGCTATTATGTGATGTGCACTCTAAGAGCATGTACCTGCTGTGCTTTATGATAATTCCATGACCCTAAAAGAGGGTGCCCAACCATTATGTAGATCCCGCCACTTCTATCTGTGAGTCAACTTAATACATATGCCTACACACACAGTACACCCCACTAGTTTCTGTGACTGCTCATGGACTGCAAGTTATGGTTTCCTCAGCATCTTCTAGGCTAGTGCCCATTGGTAAGAAGAGTCATGAATGTTGAATTGGAAAGGATCTGGCTTAATCAAGGTACTATTCTTGCATTTGCAAGGAGGGATTAGGAAAACTAAAAAAAAAATCCTGTCAGGACAGTAGGTGTCCAGACAAGATTTTAACTGAGCACCCCAAAAATACAGGTCTACAGCATCACTATTACATCAGCCATTAGTTACGGAAACTCAGATGTCTGTTCAAAACAAAAATGTACAGAACATGAAATGCAACTCACTGTTTGCTGAATGAACAATTTCATTACATATTAATCCGTCACAAAAGGTATCTCCTGTTATTAAACAAGAAATACACCACAAAATTACAAATTGAGAAATTTCATGCAAAGAATTACATATTTACAAAGCAGAAATTTACAATATTACTTTGTGATGGGAACACAAGCCTCCTTATGTCCACCACTGGAATGCCAATGATGGAAGCTGTAACACTACCAGACAGCGACAGTTGCATCGTCACTAGAAGTAGCCAGACTTTATTTTCAAGAAATGCCTGGTATTCATAAAATGGTAGGACATTCAAACATACTGGATTGCACCAGACTGAAGAGACATTGTGTCCACACATGGATGGTGCAAACGTAACACGAATACAAAATTTACTGAAGGGTACAATTTTCTGCAGTGTTAAACTATGCAGTGCAGTAGGCATCCAATGACACTTCAGAGAAAGACCAGAAAATCATGCTCTTCATACTCATCACTGCAACAATCCCTATTCTAACATGATCATATTGTTGGTACATTACTTACCTTATGAATTATTCATGCTTTATTATTTTTATTTAAACATAATAAGCTTATAATTTTCTGAACTGCAATTTGCAGTATTAATACTACAACACGTACACGGATCATCATAATGAGCTTATTCCAAATATGTAATGCTGCTATGACCTCTCTTCACTTAAATTCTTACAGATAGGTCAGCAATACAGTGAACCCTTGACAATCCTGTTAACAGTTAATTCAGATCAAAATATGAAAAATGCTGTTCACAGTTGAGTACATACTTTAAAAGACACATGGCATTTAGGAAGCCGGATAAGTCACTTGTCTGTTCAGACAAAAGTTGACAGTTACATCAAACCTGCATTATTACGTTCAAAAACAAGTACAACTTCTGAGTCTTCTATCGACGAATAAATGAACTGTCTTTTTATAGTTTTTAAATAAAGGCTCTACAGTGATTTCTTTATCTGTTTATTTTCAACAGCACTACTTATATCACTAAATTTTCTAAGTCTCTTTTTTGTCTTTTAGGGCTACCTTCTGATTCACTAATCCGGATAACCTCTCCCCCCAATTACTCTGGATTAGCAAGAGTTTACTGCACACTGATTTATGTTCCATCCAAAGAAGACTCTCAGTTCTATATAAACTTCTGGTTCTTGACAAACGTTAAATAAAGAATGAAATCTATTACTGAAGAAAGCAGTCTTCTCTGGGATGTAGCACCATGTAGATGTGGTGTTAACCGACGTTTCGGAGGAATGTATCGCCTCCATCTTCAGGGTAGAAGGAAAAATAAGAAATCCACAAGTGAAGAGACAGTGAGAACAGGTGCAGGCAGACTAATGTCGGGAATAAACTAAGCTATATAAGAGCAGAGAAGGAAGGGACAAGTCTACATGGGAAATCAGTGGAGAGGGAGAGGGGAAGGGTCTGGGACAAGAGCAAGGTTAGAGCAGGTATAGGATATTGTGTCGGGGGGAGAAATGCAAGGTTAATGGGAGGGCATTAACCCTTAAGCTGGGGGGTTGCTATGCGAGTTGGGGTCATGGAATGTGTGGCCCCCCCCTGGGACATGATGCCAGATCCACAAGGCCACACATGCAACAACACAAGAGCTGTTGGAAGTAGTATTTTCTGGGCGGTCTTTCTTGAGGCTTTATGAGGACCTGCTGCCATTACAAAAAAGCCCTGAGATGGCAATTAGAAGAATAGGAGTTGGTATGAGATGGTCATCAGCCTGCAAGGATGTGAACCTGGGAACAGAGGAATGTCCACAGTTGGAAGTGGTTACCAAGCAGAGGAGAGCAGAGAGGACTGTGACTGAGAACACCAGTCTTGTGATAGTGGTCTGTAAAGTGTAGTCACAAGCTGTGTGTTCAATAAATCCGATTACCAATCCAAATCCTGTCTACAGTCACACTTATCATGGTATGATATTCATATACACTGGCCTTAGAGCATGGGTGGCAAACTATGCCCTCTGGAGCAGCCGCACCCACCACCAGCTTTTGTTCTGGTCACTGGAAGAAGTACAAGACATTTACCTATAATATTTACTTATTTGCTTACCTTAAAATAAGAAAGTTTCTAGGCTATACTGTGATGTTAAATGGGTAACTTGACATGAACTATATTGTGACGTGTTGCGCAATGGAGGAAACCCCTCACACCGCCAGCAGTGACATAACACTTTTGGAGCGTTGCCGTTACTACAGTAATAAGCCAGTCAACACCCCTCCTCTCCCCGCGGTGAGATAACATGGGATGCCGCTGTTGCTACACAGCAGTAAACAACTCCCGACAGCGTTGCTAGCAACATGGCGCCAGACAGCAGTGGTCCCTATTACATGGCTGTTTTCTGCGTTGTCCAGAACGGGGCTAAATAAGGAGCAGGGAAGACTATTCACCGACAGTTCTCAAGTTCTCGAGTTACGAGTCAGCCAGGCAGTCAACCAGCATTTGCAGTGTAGTATTTGTGATACTGCCGATGGCAGTAATTGTGGATCTGTAAATTGTGTGATTATAAGAGTGAATGGGAAATAAAATTCGCTATATCAATTACAGCGTGAAATTATTTGTCGCGTTATACACAAACACGTGACAATATATTAAAGGCTGAACACAAATGGTGTATAGTAGAGGCAGATTTATAACATTCATGCAACTGCATCTGTGAATACATACCTCACTGCATGTGCTGGCACCTAACTTCACACTGGTACACTCCATGAACAGATGAATTCCAGCTGGTAGTCAAGAATTAACACAGAAAAGGACACACCATTACAGTGGTGTCTTAAGGTGTGAGCTCATAGCCATTACTAGTTGTTTCAATGGTTTCATTCAGAAAAGTTGTTCACAATCAGTCTGCCATGAAGTTGTAGTGTGGTTACACTTTATGTGGATCTGAATCATGTGAATTTAAAATAGTGAGATATAAAAAAATATTAATGAAGTGCCACTCTTTAAGCACATTTGAAATAATGCAAATCGCCCCCCCCACACACACAAAAACTGTCAGGAATCACTTGGGTTTTAAAACCTGTTTTGAATTATGTGAGGTCTTCTGGAATGCATCCCGTGCATAAAATGCGACCGCATTGTAATAGAGATATTGGATGGGGGGACTTAAAAGATTGCTATCAGTATCATGACTACATATGATCAGATGGTAAAATGAATGAAGGATGAATTGGAAAGCATTTGAAGGCCTAATCAAGATGCTCTCTCAGCTTCTGCTTGGAAGGTGATGAAAATCATGATAAACCTATGTCAGGATAGCCAGGTTCCTGGCCAGGATTCATATGATGCACCTCCCAATTATGAGTCTACAGCATTACCAGTATGCCATGTCACAATTTCAATGAATATCAATAGTTTGATCTGTCTTAAATTCTACTCTGCTTCAAAACATGGTATATATTATCACGTGTGTGACTACAGAAGGGGTTTCGATTGGTTAATGGATTTATTGACACTTATACATGCAACTTGAAACTACAATTACAGCACCAGCTAATTTCCTCAATTCACAAATCATCCCAGCACCTACTAAACCTTTTCTAGTCTGCTGTGTCTTCATCAGCTGTTGCCAGTCAACAGCTTCTAACAGTGGAGATTCTTCAGCTTCACGCCCTCAGGTTCATTCTTCACAGCCTCCTGTGTAGACCTAACTAACAACTGACTTGGTCCCTTGTTTATAATTCCATGGCACAGACCATGCAGAAACACCCCTTTTCCAACAGTAACTCTATTGTAGTTTGCGTATTCGTTGCTGTGGGAACGTGTTTACTGAGCCACTGTTTACAGAGTCACTGCTTAGCAACGAGTGTATACATCATGGTACTGTGGCAGTTTCCCGTCATATTCTAAACAGGTGAGTCAAAGAGTTGGTGTCAAATTTTGAAAACAGATAAACAAGCTGCAGCAGGAAGAAGCAACTCAATCACGTCTTTTTGTTGATACAGTCAACTCTCGATTATCCGGGTTAATGGTGGGGATGGAAATCACGATTAATCGAAAACCCGGTTAAGACAAATTTTATTAAAAGTAGTACTGTAATACTGTACCTTCATAATACTGTAGGCCTACCTGTATTTAAATTTATTCAACCTCATTTTTATGTCATCTCATGGCCTATTTAATACTTCTTTTACATTACACTGAAATATGAATTAGTTATTTCAATCACAGTCTTCAACAACATCCAACATTTTTTACGAATATTCACACTTAACACTTAAAAAAAAAATAATATTGTCGTTTACTTTTTCGCGGCATTTTCCTTTTTCTGTTGAATACTTAACACAACATGCTTCCTTTTACACCCTGACATTTTGCTAACGCACTTGAAGATCGATACAAAGATACTAACTGGGGCGATGTATCTGTCCTTGAAACTTTCCACAAATCCTTGCATTCTTTCACCCCTGCCCTAGAACATCGTGTTAGCATAATGGGACCAAAGAATGCAGAGCTCGGTTCACACTAGTGCGAAAATAGTGTTACAACTTGCCATGTGAAATAAAAGTGAATGAATATTAAACAACATATAAGCCTCAAAAAAGCCTCAGTAGCCCCGGTTAATCCGCCCCTGGATAATCGAGAGTTGACTGTATATGAAATATGTATGCGCAATAAATAATTTTTCAACAGTGAATTTAAAAAACAGTGCACAGCGGACATGGCTGAAGCAGATTACTCATAAAATAAAAAAAAATAGTTCCAAAATAAAAGTTTATGCAGAACAACTATAAGTCACATGGAAGAAAGGAATAATAAATAATACAGTTCAGAGATTCATGTACGTCTCTATACTGCTGGCTGACAACAGGGGACAAGCAACTCAGCTCAGTTACTGATACTCGTACAAGTTGTCAATAAGTGCAATGTCATTAGTAAAAGCATGATAGGCACAACTGGTGACAACCTGTATGAAATGCATACATAAGATATTGTACAACAAGTCAATCAGTGTGACCACAGAGAGATCACCCAAATCTGACTGGCAAAAGCTAAGTGATTTTTGTAAGGATGCAAGATGGTATACGAGGTGTGTTCAGGAAATAACGGGAATTTTAAAATTTCGCGGGTTTGGAGAGTCCAATTGTCAAATTTTTTTTTTATTATGTTGGTATACATGCCCCTGAAGTACAATAAAATTTTCAGCTGTATTCATTGCTTACTTTGTCTGTGGCAGCCGCTAAGGTTAGACGTGTTTTTATGAGCTTGGCGATTTTCGTTTGTTAAAAGAAATGGATCAAAGAATTTGTATCAAATTTTGCGTAAAAAATGANGGGAACATGTCCTACATCAAGAAATATTGGCTAACAAGGAGCTCTGAAACATGTAAATTTCATATCTTTATACCAGAGATCTATGCTATGCTATGAGCATCTATATTACTGATCAGTCACAATGCTGTGAGCTAACTCACCTGTGCTATGTCTTTCTGCTCACGTTTCCTTTTCTTCTCCTTTCTTTCATGTGGTTCTGCTTCATCACTTGAGTGAAACCTTCTCACCTGAGAACGTGGCAGGTCACCTAGAATCTCCTTTTCTGGTTTCACACCTTTCTTTCTATTACCTGAGAAAAGTATTAATCCATGACACCTTTTTATGTTCCCATTCTTTTCCATTCCTTGTGTTTTTGGTTGCTTGGAGACCACATAACATTTAATAAACAGAGCAATCTATGTGGAGTGATCGAAGCTGGGATACTACACTCAGTATAGCAATTGGCTATGGGTGGGATGGCCGAGGAGTCGGAGTTTGAGCCCCAGTAGGGGCAACATTTTTCTCCTCTCCATGCTGTCCAGACTGGTTCCGGGGCCCACCCAGCCTCCTGCCCAATGTGTACTGGGGACTCTTTCCTGAGGGGTTAAGCAGTCAGGGCGTGAAGCTACCACTCACCCTGAACTAGTACCAAGGTCAAGAATATGAGAATCTATAAATCACTCCCGCATACATCTTCACTGTGTAATGCATAGTCAGTTAAGCACAGGGACGACTTTACCTTTTAACTCACGCGGTGTAATCAAATAATTTCTGTATTGCATTTCTTTGCCTTAATAAATGCATTTACCCTCTATTCCATGACATCCTCTTCGAAGGATTCTTGTGACTCAATGCAGTGAGTTCAGTGACTGTAGCGCTGTTGGAAGTGTTTGTAAGAGTCCTGTGTTTTGAACTTCACAATTGTAACATGTGACAGTTCTTGATTATGATGATGTCATCAAATCATTCCCCTTCATGATCAACTTGGAGTTCTGCCACCTGCGATGACCTATGAAAGGAACTGGGGGTCTCCTGTGAAGTTTTTGAGACACATCAAGACAAGACATGAATTTTGCAGCAATCTTTCACATGTTCAGACCTGGTGTCTAAGCCTTCTGGCATGGCACAAACTTGCAAGTTGCAGACAGCAATGTATCTGTTTTCTTGAATACATTTCTTGGGTCATATCACATTTTCAACTGTTCTGTTTGTGGACGGGGGTCCTGAGAGCTCACCATCATTAATTAACCAATGTCACTCCACTACTGAAATTGGAAGGCCAATAAAATGTTTGAGTTCTGCTCATTGTTTCTTTGCTGAAAGCAAGTCTTAATATCCCATAGGTGCTGTAGCAACTTCACCTAATTTGAAGCAGAACCTGATTCCCACATGCCATCTCTGAAATGTGCTATTTTCTGATAAAACACAATTTCCAGAAGGTACAACACACAGCCTCATTTCATAAGGTGTAGCTTCAGAGTGACATTAAGTTGCAACTTTGAAGTGAATGACAAATGACTCAGAAAATTCAACTCTAAATCTGCCAGTGGAATTTTATCCAAACTCCAGAAACATCACAATGTGACCAGTCCAGAAACTAATTGATCACACCAACTATGTCAATTGCTGTTACATCACGGGGCAGTCACATGATTTAATGCATTAAGAAATCTAATGATATCAAGTTTTACACACTAATGGGGCATATCTCTTCTTTAGAAGCTAACAGACATTCAGGCTAGTGATAAAACTCACTGATTTTTAAGGAATTACAGATTCATTGTCATGTTTTCAAGGGCATGTGACTATCCATAGCCAGATGTATCCACTCACACTCACACCATATTTCCAAGTTTTACAGACATATAAATAACAGCTTTGAAAATTTTAATCTATAAGTTATTAAATATAAGAAAAGTAGATAAAAGATTCAGAACTGAATGGAAGTACACCCAAAATTGAATGTAATCTTATGTAGAAGAGTACTATTTTCTGGGATATAACATCATGTTGTCCGTTAAAAGTCAAGAAAACATTGCCTCTATCTTCAGCGCTGAAGAATAAGTCAAGCTAAAAAAGGGTGAAAGCAGGTGGCAAAGCAGATCTTATCCTCCAAAATGTCCATTAACTTTCAACAAACTATTCGGCCTTATACTTCAGGAAACAGAACTCTTCATAACCACCGCTATGAGAACCTCAGATCCTACACAGTGCTATATCCCAGGAGATAGAACGCTTCATAATCACCGCTGTGAGAACCTCAGATCCTACACAGCGCTCTATCCCAGGACACAGAACTCTTCATAACCACCGCTGTGAGAACCTCCTATCCTACACAGTGCTATATCCCAGGAGACAGAACTCTTCATAACCACCACTGTGGGAACCTCAGATCCTACACAGCGCTCTATCCCAGGAGACAGAACGCTTCATAACCACCTACCTACATAGTGCTATATCCCAGGAGACAGAACTCTTCATAACCACTGATGTGAGAACCTCCTATCCTACATAGTGCTACATCCCAGGAGACAGAACTCTTCATAACCACCGCTGTGAGAACCTCCTATCCTACACAGTGCTATATCCCAGGAGGCAGAACTCTTCATAACCACTGCTGTGAGAACCTCCTATCCTACATGATCTTAAGTACTTCATTAATAGAATTTTAATATGTCACTGTTGTTCCCAAACTCTGCCACATCTTCTAAAGGTTTATCAGATATGACTTTGTAGTGAAACCTGATGATTTACCATGAACATAAACTTCATTTCTCTGCTTCTGAAATATGAAAACCTCAAATAAGAACCACTGACATACTTACTTCTTTCATTTGCAGGTGAGACATCCACTTCTTCATAACCAGATTCTTCTGAACTGCTACACAAGTTATCTTCCTGACTCGTCCTCTTCTCCTTCAGTCGGATCAACTTAAAATATCAAAGATTTAAAAATACAGAAACATACAAATGAGACGTACAATATAACTACTTCATAAAATAAAAAATGATCCAAGCTGATTTGTACATAATTCCAAATGAGGAACACACACGTTCCTTTGGGATTGCTTTTACAAAGCTGTCAGTACCTACAATCTAGATTACACAGCACTGAATGGCAGGATGACTGGTGACTGATAAGGATCTGAAAGGAAACAGCCATGGCCTGAGGTATTATCTCAATGTTTGCCAGAAGGGACTGAGGAAAACCATGAAAAAACCTCAATCGAGATGGCTAATGTCACGACTGACATTCAAACTGAGCACCTTGCAAATACAAATCTAGACCACCACTGCTACAGCTACCTGCTCAGTAGGAACACCCAAATATCTGCACTAAACAAAGATAAGGTGGGATTGTTTGATTTCATCTGAAAATGACGATGATGATAATAGAGAAAATCAATCAGATGCTATTTTGTATTCTTATAATCTTATTAGTATTGTAACATTTCCCACTAGAGTGGGCATGTCCACAAGTACTATAATTGATAATCTGACTTTCCTAAAATATTAAATAAATTTTCTACACATATAATTTTTGCTGATGATACTAGCATCTTATTTGCACATTCTAATATAAATGATCTTAGCAGGAATATTCTTATAACAACTGAAATCTTAAATGGATGGTTTAGAGCTAATAAATTATTTTTAAACTTTAACAAGACACACTGCATTCAATTTAAAACTAAGAGAGTAATGTCAGATACTTTTACAATAAATCATAATAATAAGTTTACCAACAGTACCCTCAGTACTAAATTCTTAAGAGTTATAATTGATAGTGCCTTAATATGGAAGAATTGCATTAATTTACTTGTAAAAAAATTAAGTAAGGTTTGTTACATAATTAGAAATATCAAATATTATATTTCTATTTCAGCTTTAAAGGTAATCTATTATTCCTTTTTTCACTCCTTAATTAGCTATGGTATCATCTAACAGTACTATTATTTTTCTTCTAAAAAAAAGAAAGGCTATCAGAACAATGTTGGGATATGGCAATAGACTTTTGTGTAGAAACATATTTAAAGAGTTAAATATTTTATCACTTGCATCACAATATATATTTTCGTTGTTAGCATTTGTAATGGTTACAGGATCCAAGCAAGTTAAATGGGGATAATCTGAACAATATAAGACGTGAAACCAGCAGGCATTTCGGGAACAAAAAGATGGAATATCTGAAAGACAAAATTGATGAGCTTGCACTGAACAATAAGAACAAGAACATTAGAGACCTATATAGAGGATTAAATGATTTCATTTTAAATTTCAAAGTTTAACACTTGTTTGTAACTTTTAACGTATAACAATTCTTTCATTCAGAATTTGTGTAGTTGTGTCTATAATATTTCTCTATATTGCATTTCACATGTCTAGCCCTAGTGCGTCATTTGCTAGCACAATCAGAAAGCAACACACATAAACCTTGTGCAGTCACTTTGCTATTTTACATTATGCAAAAAAGATGTTAATAAAAGTTACTAATTTTCTGGAGGTCTTTATTCACACAAAATTCCAGTTATGTGTCTATACGAACTGCTATTCTGGCCTCAGTTTACACAGCCACCCTGCTGATTGCACTCTATATATACCTTTAGCATGATTTATTTAATCCGTCTTGCAGTGCATACACTCATTTATCTCCTTCTCTCTCTTGCACTACATGTTTCGGCATAATAATGCCATCTTCAGGTGCTTACTTATCCACGTCAAACCAGTTCATTGCATGCCATGTTCTCACATTAAAATAACTAAAATATGTATCTATCATATACATTGTCAAACGTTAAAAATATTAAAATTGTTCAGGATACCACATCGCTACGTCGCCCCTCACTACGTCAGTCACGCCCATTCTCCTTTGTTGGAGCACTCCTTCACTATCTTGTGTGTTGTGCTTTTGTTGTGTCGTGCTCCTGCGACNCTTTAGCAGCTTGAACAATACAGTGTTGAAGAATACAATCATTTACTGAATAAAAAACTGGAAAGAATGCAGAAGGAAACAGATGTGGCTAAATGACGCACCATCCTAGCATCTGCCTGGAGGAACTGGGGAAAGACATGAAACACTCGGAATAAATGATATCCTGGCCAGATTCAAAGCAGTCACCTTTCAGGTACATGTCACAAGCACTGTTACTTGAGACAACGACCTTACTTCAGGCTCGTTATTAAGGCTCTACGGATTAATTAACATCCTGACTGCTGAACAGGTAAAGACATAAAAGTTTACATGTGTACCACAGCCATCATACCTTTTCTTCCTTCTGCTGCTTATACTTCTCTAACCTCTGCTTCCGTTTTTCCTTGCTTCTACGTTTTTCTCTCTGTATGCTGTCTACAGCATTCTTCAATGACTCCACTACTAACTGTCGTCCAGTATTGAAAGACATGTTCTCTGGAGCACTATCCGAATCCGAAGAGTCCTTCGGTCTTGCTGACTTTGTGGGATGCTTCACTAATTTCTTCTGCGCCCCTTTTGGCATATTGTAATGAATGTTTCTGCAAACTGTATTTTTAAAGACTATTTTCTTCTACACGGAATTCTGTGAAAGTGGACTCCAAAACAACACAGAGCACACACCACCAAAATGCAACTAACATACAAAAACTGTGTTATATCACTGTTCTTACTTCAACATTATAAACATTGTAATACGAAACCAATGAGATTTCAGTCTAAACAATATATATAGTTCAAAGCTAACAGAAGACAAAATAAAGTTTCATGAAACGTAACTCCTTGGCCACGAGGATGGCGTGTGCCATTTTCCACAAATTTTGTGGGATGCGACGACTACGTCTAGACGTCTAGACCGTTTAGACCGGTTTAGACGGTATAGACTACCTCCATGAAAACTTTAAATCAAATTAAAATATATGCTAATGTTATATAATAAATAAATTCATAAACTGTTATAGATTTGATTAATGATTTCGTGTGTCGTCCATTGAATTACGTAGTAGTAACCATTTTGAGTCTAGTTGGTAGAGAGCGGAGATTCAAGCCAGTGACATATGGGGAAAAAAACGTTTTACGTGAATTAAGTACACATAAGTCACTTCATTCATCACGGCGCGTGTTAGTGCGGGAGAAGACGCTCGCTCATTATGTCCAATCAAAAGTAACTGCCTGTGAGTGCTTCATGTGGTACAAGGCGAAGTTATCCCATTACATAACCGATTGCGTACCGCGCCATGAAAACGTATCGGGAGTGGAAGTATAGTTCCACCAATCTCTACATAGATGGGATGAGTAGTCAGCTTCCCGCCCCGGTATCCAGTGGCCAGGATATAAAGCAGTTGCCGGGGCACAGATTTGGCATCCGCGTTATGGGTCAAATTGAAATTTATCAACATTTGGAGTCCCTCTTATTATCTACCATGTTAGTTGGGACCCTAGTCAGCACGGCATGGCGCGTCCCCAGGTTGCGGATGGAGGAAACGCCACACAGGTATGGCGGGACAGCATAGGTGACTAGCCGGGAGCAGCCGCCCGCGAGAGAGGGGAATGGACATACTGCTGGACATCGTTTCGACGCACCGAACTGCGGCTTTCCGAACACCCTTACTCTTCAATTTCGAAACAGGTTAGTCTAATCCACTATGGCAGAGGAAGAAAATGAGTTCATTTCTGTGGTTTAGGCGGGAAAGTTAATTCCCAAAAGCTAGGGGAACCCCAAGCGTTTACGGAATTTTTTGAGGGGGTTGAAGCTTCAAGAAAGGTAGTGCATCGAACGAAATACTCGCTACTGTTAAACTTAATTGAGTCAAAGATTACAGGTGAGGCAAAAGATAGATTGCTAGCCAGTTAAGAGAGAAATACGTGGGAACAAGTCAGGGCCATTTTGGAAGAAAATTATGCAGTGAAAAGCGCACTAGAATATTATGCAGGTTTGTTATTTACTGCGAAACACGAAAACAATGAAAGTGTGGCTCAATGGGGTTCAAGAATCGACAATATGGGTTTAGATTTGATGTGGGAGGCAAAACTCCGAATAGAGAAAATAAATCCAAATTCAGTTGAGGGAGGCATCATACTTGTTTCAGAATTTATGAAGGGCACATTTGTAGCCGGGCTAAAAGATGACAAAGTACAATGTCAAAGCTAGAGGGGAAGAAGATTCTCTAGCACAGTTAGTAGAAACTGCACTGCAGGAAGAATGTGAGGTTAAATCACAGACTTCTAAGTCAAATGTGCTATGTCGTTAACAGTTTTTGCCAAGAGATTTAGACATAATTTTGGGGCAAGATTGGTTGGAAAATGAGGGTTATGTTTTTCAAAAGAAAACACCACTCATAATACCCCCGTACAATGAACAGGTAATAAAGTGTAGAACACAAGAGAAATGAGTTTGTCTTATTGAACATCAAGTTCTTCAACCAGGTTTAATTTGTGCAGCTAGTCTAGTCAACTATGAAAATTTTGAATTTCCATGTTTGATGGATAATTTAACAGACAAGCCAGTATGTGTGATGACAGATCCGAAACTAGAAAGTTGTAAAAGCGTAACAAAAATGACAGCTAGTAGAACCACAGAAATTATTCACCAATTATGGAGAAATTCAGAAGATTCTTGATCATTGGATGAAGCATAAATATTGATGTAACATTACTCTTTCCATAATAATTCCTGCTGAGGTGAAGGGCTTGTTTACCGAGCTAAATGCTATTGACCCAGCTCTGAAAGTGGTATCGTTTGTTACCACTGCTGGTTTTTCAGACATTTTAAAGAAAACCATGGATTCCACAGTCCATAAGAAGAAAGTGTTATTTATTCACTGTGTGCATGGGAACTTGCCCAGTCTGATCTTGCTTCATTCAGTGTTTTCACTCCACCAGGATCGCCTGTCATCCCATCAATTTTTTTTTTGTAAATTGTAAAATAAAGAGCACAAAAATTAATTAATAATTCTAAGTGCAAGCATTCTCTATTTTACTTAGTTAAAATTACTTTCCACTGTTTCACTTTACATGACAATGTCCAGGAATGCACTAATCGTGATTAAGAAGGGTTACCAGGAATTTTCCTTTTATTGTTTGCATTCTTAAGTAAGCTCTTTAAGTAAATTCTATCAGTGCTGCTTGTAATTCTGTGTATCACTTTATGGAGTATACCCTTTCTAATCATGTTGCTTTATTTGTATACATTTAATTATTAGAAATTAAAAATAAGTAAAAATATGAATTCAAGTTGAAGGAACATATATGATAATATCGAGAATAATATGTTTAATTTACAGACACGTTGTCTAGAATTGTTGTATTATATGTGTATAGAAGTTTTCTGTGCTTGCTCATGAAGTACACCTTTCTAATTTTGTTAAAATGTTGTTGTATGCTTTGCAGAATTGGACTGTGCACATGTTCAGCCAGGTAGACCAAGAATTTGGAGTCAAGTTGACTGAAAGCCTAAAGAAGCATGTGAACTTTCATTGATCTGACTGATGCCATGCCATGTGAGCTGTTACCTCGAACAGCTTAAGAGTAATGGGTTCAAAGCTATTATCATCAGATGTAACCTTAAGGAATAAAAGTTGCTCTTTCCATAGAATGTTTATTTAATTACTGATTGTATAACTAAGTAAAAAAAGTAAAGGAATCCCTGTAACAGGCCTTGGAGGCCCGTAGGGTTGTGAGAAGTTGAGGTTCCCACATTTTCTAGACAGTCGGGTCATAGATGGCGGCAAGGTTGTCAGCCTAATGTGCCAGCTGCCCTTTACCCCCAAGAATCAGGGCCATAGTGCGGCTGGAAGGATTAGGTCAATTTGAAAGAAATCCAATGACCTCATCGGGACTAGAACCCGTGACCTTCCAGCTTGTAGCATAGTGCCCCCTTGATTGCATAACTGCATACTGTTAATTGTCTGATTGATCATTCAACACCCAATGCTTCAAGTGGAACCTTAACCTCAGAATTCAAGTATGGCATGTGTAGTGCAGAAAACGTCATTTTGCTCCCTGACAATCACTGCTACAACCTTCATTTAGCTTCTCAGTTAAGGTCTCAAGGTAGAGCACAACACAGTGCATTTGCTTCTTGCAGACCTCCCTTACAGTAGTGGGGTTCAGGATAATGTTATGTCCTAAATGTGAAGTGAAGTTGGAAATATGTCAACCTTCTTGTGACAGTTCAAGATACGGTAGCATGTAGAGCCATTTCTATGCAATGACGGCAAAATAAACAAATATACCAGAGCTGTTTCTAGGCAATGGCTCAGTACAAAAGTTCCTGTGGAAATAGATATGCATGCGATAATATAGGTACTGTTGGAAACAGTGTTTTCTATGCGGTCCTATGTGGAGGCTTTGTCAAATATCTCCACTGTAGTTCTGTGAGTGTAAGAGGCGTCAAAAAGGAAGCCCAGTGCCTGGGAATATAACCAGGCATTCTTGTTGCCGGGCCATATAATTATGGGGGCCTGTCCCAGGTTGGGGCAGTCTCGAATCAGAGCCAGAAAAATATAGTCATGAGATCCACAGGAATCTGACCTGAAAATAACTGCACTGGTGAGGACCAGCAGCAATTGTAAAGACAGGCCCATCCTCTTGTCAGAGAGGATGATACATAAGGATTATAACCACAATGTTCAGTTGAAAAATAAAATTATTGTGTCATGAGTCTCAAGGGGGTTGTTGCCAAGACAATTTGATTGGCGGTAAACCACCAATCATAAAGAAACACTGACTCTGAACAGTAGTTCAGCAGGAGTGAGTGGGTGAGAGTGAGCACCAGCAGTGTCACTCCCCCGTAGAGGGGGAAGTGACCAGTAGTAGTTGGACCCCTCCTCTCTAAGAGTAGGGGGCCCCATTTCAAAACACACAGAAGTCTGGAGAGAAAAAGAATTATAGTCATGGGTCCTGACGGGGTCCAAGACCAAGAACGACTGCGCTGGCTAGGGCTAGCAGTAAGTCAATAGTTCAGTTGGGAGTCACTATTCTGAGAGGACTTGAGCGTAGAAGCGGGTAGCCACTGTTAGAAGCCGTTACCATGAAACCTCTAATAAAGACACTGCAGTCTGGAAGAGCCTTAGAGTGTGCTAGAGCGATTATTAGCCTGTGTAAATCAGCAATAATGTTATAGTTATGACCTGTAAGTGGTCAATCTGTAGTCACGTACTATATGACAATACATTTTCTGTGGCATCCTTTGTTCTGCTGTGGCTGTCTGTTATTATTATAAAACATCATCCAGTAAATTCTTTTACTGGTTACCCTCCAGAATGATTAATTTGCTTAAGTTTCCAACTATTTAGATGGTAAGATTTCTTGAAAACTATAAATGGCTGATGTAATGATTTACACCTCTATTTGATTATTATGATGCCCCCCCCCACCAACCCGAGATGTTTTAGACACAGCACATCACTTTTCTGCTAGGGGCTGCTATTAATAGAAACCAAGAGAGAGACATAAAAATGGAAGTAAGAAAGATATGGAGAGAATGAAGGAAATAGATAGACAAAAAGAAAAAGAAGCAAAGAAAAATAATTCTCATGGAAAAATGTTTGAAACAGAATATGAGTTAGCATATAATATACATCTAAAAGGGAAAGAAAGGTAAATCTATTCCTGTAACAGGCTGTGGAGGTCCATAGGTTTTGAGATGTCGAGGCTCACATATTTTCTAAACAGTTGGCTCTCAGATGATGGTGAGGTTGTCAGCCTTACATGCTGCCCACTCTTTACTCCCAGGAACACACCTGGTACTCATTTGTGTGAGAGGCTGAGTCGACTCCTTGGCTGTAATGTGGCTGGAAGGATTAAACCAGTTTATAAATGAATAATAGATAGTAAATTATAAGAAAATATATACTCAAAGCTAAATTTTATGTCATCTGTTTTCACATGTTCTGAAATGGGGGATGAAATTTTTAAAATGTTTTAAGAAGGATGCTAATGTGCTAAAGTTTTGGAACCTCTGCAGTAAAATATTAACTCCATGGGGCATTGACCTTCTTTACTAGTTGAAAGATGTTCAGTATGCTCATAAAGTCTGGCCCTTGGTGCTATCAAATTATTAAGAAATTTATTATAGTTTTTTTAGTTTGATGGTTCTTGAGCAGTAAGTTCCTCTGAACCTCATACACATGCACAGTGTTGCATCACAGTAACATCACTAGTAAGAGTATTATTTGGTATTTGAAATTAAAATGTAAAAATTTGATAGCCAAACTTCAGTTCATGGCAGGGGCCAGATGTCAAGTTCTAGACTCTGTGGCAATACTCCTTTGGTTTGGCAGTATTGAATAATTATTATGAAGGTGAATATTGTGCCAAACATATTCCCTTATTCATGTTATACCACAGAAGTCACTTTTGCCTAACCTTGGACCCTTTAGTGGACCATCACCAGGGAGCTTACTTTCTCGTATATGTAAATTATATGAGAAAATGTGACAATAAAACAGCTGGATTTCGAGATTTTGATTTTTGTGCATGTTTTGAGCCTACCAAATATGAAGAAATGATTTCTGGAATGTCACTTGTATGTGTGTAGTTTCTATGCAATTGTACATAACTAGGACCTGAAGAGTTAGAATGTAGTTACCTAAAATTGTAAGCCTATTTAATCAGTTGTCTATATTTATTGATTGGGCTTTAAGTAAGTGAGTATGTTGTGGTGGTTGGAATTCTTATGTGGGGTTTGGACTAGGAAATCTGAGCGCAAGGCAATTTCTGTCATCACACATCAAGTTGAGAGCAGTCCAGCTGGTCAGAGTAGATCCTGCGGCTGATAGCTTCCAGATGTGGAAATACATTATACAGAATGATATGACTTTCATTGGTTGAAACCAATAGGCGTGCCTACATTCGAGGTATGGGTGAGGAACTATGTTTGAATCCAGCCAACTGGTAATGAGGAACCGGTGTTAATGTCAGACACCACAGCTGGGATGTGATGCCTCATTGGTGCGAGTGATCTCGGTGGCTTCTTGTTTCAACTTCACCGATCAAGAGACATTTCTTTTTCTAGTTCAGAAATTTGTTATAATTAATTAATACCCCTGTAGTGGCTACACTGTCACGAGGTAGAAATCAAGCACATCATTACCTGTCATCGATTCTGCAAATTAAGTAATTCGTTGTATAAACTTGGGAAATAAAATAAATTTACCATCAAAGTGGGTCCATGACCAGTATGTTTTCCCATTAATGCAGCCGTCAAACCTTTGCCAGCTGATTTTTAGACTGTTAGTGTACTGTCTATAATGCAACAATTACTTCATATAAAGGACAATAAAAATATTGTAATGTGGTTGGAGTAGATACTTCCTTTGTAATGCAATAACAGTGAGCTGTTGTGTAGGAATTCCAGAATCAACGAAGCAGCATTTCCCCTTTGATAGACAACAGAAGGTTCACTGCGTAGCAACGGCCGCGGATATATAAAAAGGTAATGCATTCACCGAGACAGTCTTTGGATAGCTGCCACTGAAGACACTATTGGGATAGCCGTCGCCGAAGACAGTTGAGATTCAGCCGCAGCCAAGGACAGTATAAGCACTGGGGTATTGGGCCAAAAGCCAAGTGATACTACAAGTGGTAATAATTGTATGGTGTATAAGTGAAGTCCAATAAAGATTCGCTAAATCCGAGATCCACGTGAAGTTATTTGTCGCGTGAAATACCCAACACGTGACAATATTTTTATACCATAAAAGTGTTTGTTAAATAGCTTAAAATATCATTAAAATTATACATTCATTCCTTGTTGCAACATGTTTCGGCCACACATGAACCATCATCAGGCCTTTTTTTTATGTTTTGTTTACCAGCTGAGTTACCTATCCTTACCCATCCACACCTCAGCTAATGCTGCCCAAGCAGGAGGTCATGTTGACTTGGATGGTTATTAGATTTTTATTAATATTTGATGTTTATGAGTATGTCTATCATAAGTCAGTGCCCCAATAAGAAAACCTAGCTCCAAAAATAAGGGCCCTTCTGATGAGCCCCAAAAACAAAATGCTTATTTTCTCAAAAATGCCTGTTAACAATTCTGATAAAGTTTCAGTAGATTATCAGGACCACGTCCCTAAATAAAACTGCATAGATGAAATCTTTAGGACAACAATAGCACGTTCACTGTAGGCCCAAATGTAAAGCGACAGTTTTGTTGAAATTTGTTCTATTAGTCAGGTATAGATTTCCTTGTTGCTTGGTGTTCACTAATCAGTAGTAGTCTACCGAGCGTCAATTGATTTAATTTCCAAGTTAACATAGTCAAGGACGGTGGTATAGGAGAAAGTATATACCATGTCTTTGCATAAATTTTTCTCCAAGGGGCCAGCCACAAATTTGCCTAAAATCATAAGTTTAAGCAATTTAAGAATACCCTTATAACTCTCAGTATTGAAACATATATATGGTGCTATATTTAAAAATAATTTAAAAGTTTGATATAGTTCCATCTAAGTAGTTACTATAGGATTCTGACGATGGTGTATAACACACAGAGATATTGGGTTTTCGGATTTTATCCATCGTCCTAGTTTTTAAGATAACTAAGAAAAACACGACGTTTCGGAAACTGCATCTGTTTCCGTCATCAAGTGAGGGAAAACACCTATTCTCTTGGGTCCCTTAGAAAGAGCTAGCCTCAATCACTGGACATCCAATGATTGAGTCTAGCTCTTTCTAAGGGACCCAACAGAATAGGTGTTTTCCCTCACCTGAGGACGGAAACAGATCCAGTTTCCAAAACGTCGTGTTTTTCTTAGTTATCTTAAAAACCAGGACGATGGATAAAGTCCGAAAACCCAATAGTTCCTTCTGTTTTCAATTTTGATTTTTCTTTTACCAAATATCTGGCAGAAAGCAGATGTCTGGTCCTCCACCCCGGCGCTAGTGCTGTGGAGACAGATTAAGTGATACTTGCATGGTACGAGCAAAACGAGGTCACTAATTAGGAGACAAAAGCATGTGAATTTACTCTGGGTAATAAATTTTGCACAGCAGTTGCTAACAAGCCAACTTACTAACTCCATGCCCCACTGTCCTTCTTGAGAAACCACTCAGGTAATTCCTAACAATTAATAGAAATCTGAAAGTTCATTACCGTGTTCACAAGAGCACACCATATGCCCCTATCCTGAGCTACAGTGAATCCAATCCATACGCTTGTTGTTTTTTGACATCAATCCTAACATTAGCCTCCAATTTATATTAGGTCTTCCTAGTGCTCTCTTCAAGTTTTCGTACCAAAACTCTTATCTACTACTCTCCCAGGCAGACTAAATGCCTTATCTGTTCAATTGTCGACTGCACAACATTTCCAACTTGCAATAATGAAAGACAGAAAAAGAAGCAGTGACATGTTCACTTTTGTGAGGTTTCTGCTCAAGCCAAATTAAATTAAAATTAATTTGAAAAGTTAACGAATTACAGTTAAGTAAGTCACAAGATTTTCATTAACTCAACTGCAGCCCCTCTTGATAAGCCAATAGTTGGTGACTAATAAAATCTTTATATAAGAAATAAATAAAAATTATTAGGAATAACATGGGCATAGTTTATGCATTACATACATATATAGAAATTTACAGTAGTATAGGATTTTTTATGGCAGGAGATACTGAATTAGAGTGTGCTGCTATATCAGACAGCTGGATAAACACAGGTCCAGTGCGTAATTTAAAAAGCATGTTCTCTCTTGGACATCCAGTTGTCCACAATGCAAAGTGAGTTTCTGGACCCACTAATATAAATGGAACGGTTATATGATGAGTTCATCTTGTGAAGTGGATTTGAAAGACTGTTCACTCTGTGCGAAGTCTAGAGCTCCTTGGAAGAACTGAAAAGAATTTCCACTGTTTTATGCTTGTCTTCTGAGGCCTTCAGAAAGTTTATGCCCAAACTCAGCAGCCACTTGATTAAACATTTTCACCGTACGAGCCTGTAAAAATAGGAAACACAACACAAAGGTAAATTATACTACTTAATATAACTAGGACATCAGCTTTTCTGGTTTTACTGTTCACTTAATTCAAGAGGATAAAATCACGTGAAAATAAAATACTGTCACATGTTTGGAATCCAGAAGAGTTACTTCCATGGAAACGCTGGAACAGACCGTTGCATAGGAAGTAACAATAGCGGTATTGTAATCCCAACAGTGAGCCGTTGCTTAGAAAACGCCGAATCTCCCCGGAGATGTGTTTCCACGGTTACAACAGAAGGTTCAGTACATAGCAACGGCCGCAGATATATAAGAAGGCAATACATTCGATAAGACAGTCCTCAGAAGACCGCCGCCGAAAGCAGTCTAGTATTTGCCGAGATATAGTGGAAGCAGTAATTGTGAGACTGCAAGTGATAATAATTGTAAAGCGTGTGAGTATATAAGTGAAGCACAATAAAGATTCGCTGAATCCGAGACCCACATGAAGTTATTTGTCGCGTGACACACCCAACACGTGACAACTTGTGTCGGAAGTGGGATCAGTTCGGATTCTGAGACGAACTTAAAAGATTGGACTTACACAGGTGACCGACAGCATCAAACTTAAAACACGAAAATACCACAAGAAAAAATGGACATACGACAGATGTTGGAACGTCTGTTAGCGGGCCAAGAAGAGATGAAGGCAAAAATGAAAGCATGGCGAGGGGAGATGGCCGCCATGACAGACAAATGGGGGAACGATAGCCACAAGGAGACGGTGGCCGAACCCAAACACGAAGCAGACAGAAAAGCCGAGCGGGAAGAATTCGAACCCAAAAAAGACACAGAGACGACTGCCTGCCAAGAGATGGCGGCACAGAAAGAAGAGGTCCCCGTAGTAGACGCCGAAGAAGAAGAGGCGCAGGGACCGAAAACTGGTCACGGAGCGCTGCTGTCAGAAAGCGAAGGATTCGACGTGGGAAAATCGCGAACCCCAGAAGAGATTGGCCGTCGCCCGCAGAGGGACAACACGCCGTGCGAAAGTGGCACGGCAGAAGGAAAACCCCGCAAGGGTGAATGAAGACTGAATGAGCGAAGAATGAATGTGAGGCAACAGAATCGACAAATTCTGGACTACGGGAGTGCTTGGGACGAGCACCACTGAAGAGAGGGGCGGATGCGGTAGAATGAACAGCGCAAAAAACGCGAGAAGAACAGCAAGATCGAATGCAGATGTTGCCAGCAGAGCACCGCGGAAATGGAAGAGAGGAAGAACCTTTAGGCTGTTCGGGGACGAACAACCTTTAGAAGGGAGCAATGTCACATGTTTGGAATCCAGTGCTCTTTGCTGATGTGGCACAAAGCTGGGAACGTTGTTGGCATGATCACATGGTTGTTTTCCTCAATCAGGCTCATTATGTGATCATTATTCCAGAAGTACAGTGCACACTGAGCCACCTGAAAGTGAGGACTAGAGACACATCTTGAAATATGTCTGAACAACGGTTCCTGAATTTTGGCGAACTGTGATGGTTCAATTACATCTAAAATTTCTTCAGTCTCACCAAGGAACATCACCTCTTTTTGACTGCATGTTTTAGGCCAGAACTTGAGTAGCCCTTTAACAACAGGTTCAGTTAGCATGGCATCCTTTTCAAGGAACTGAACCACACAGTGTGCCAGCTGTGCATGGTACAATGACAAACATTTAACTTTGTGCAGTGGCAGCAGAACCTTTATGAGGAATTGCTTGTGTTCTGACTTCAGCGGCAGAGCAAAGCCGTTGATAATGCTTCCTATTATTTCCAATAATTCTCCAACAGCATTAAAATGCTCTGTCTCATATACAAACCCAAGGAAGATGAAGAATGAACAGCGCAAAAAACGCGAGAAGAACAGCAAGACCGAATGCAGATGTTGCCAGCAGAGCACCACGGAAATGGAAGAGAGGAAGAACCTTTAGGCTGTTCGGGGATGAACAACCTTTAGAAGGGAGCAATGTCACATATTTGGAATCCAGAAGAGTTATTTCCATGGAAATGCTAGACCAGACCGTTGCATAGGAAGTAACAATAGCAGTATTATAATCCCAACAGTGAGCCATTGCGTAGAGATCGCCGAATCTCCCCGGAGATGAGTTTCCACGGTTACAACAGAAGGTTCAATGCATAGCAACGGCTGCAGATATATAAGAAGGCAATACATTCGATAAGACAGTCCTCAGAAGGCTGCTGCCGCAGAAAGCAATCTAGTATTTGCCGAGATATAGTGGAAGCAGTAATTGTGATACTGCAAGTGATAATAATTGTAAAGCGTGTGGGTGTATAAGTGAAGCACAATAAAGATTCGCTGAATCCGAGACCCGCATGAAGTTATTTGTCGCATGACACACCCAACACGTGACAATACTAACACTTTTCAAGCTGTGAATGAAATCTTTTACTTGTGAGAACCAGCCAGTTCTTTTCTGAATCACTTTTGTTTTAACAGTATGAGCAAAAGGTTTTCTTCTGTCATTTATTTCTCATTCAAACTATTTGCAATATTTTATCAATGGAAATAACGTCTAAATTACCTCTTTGGCTAGTAACTACTCACCTCCTATTGTCAAGATGAAGGATGTGTGGCACTTTACCAGCACTATCGCAATACTTCTTCCTAGTTCCATGCTCAAGCACATGAAAATTTTATTTTTCATCAGTTTCTAGTGTGTATTGAGAAAAAAAAAGCAAAACTATCCCTGTAACAGGCCATGAAGGCCCATAGGGTTGTGAGATGTCGAGGCTCCCACATATTTTGGACAATCAGGTCACAGATGGTGGTGAGTAACCAAAGCTATCCCTGTAACAGGTCGCTTAGGCCCATAGGGTTATGGGATGTTGAGGCTCCCACATTTTCCAGACAATCAGTTCACAGATGGCAATGAGGTTGTCAGCCTTATGAGCTGGCTGCCCTTTACCCCCAGAAAGGCTCCTCATACTCATTTCTGTTTGAGACTAAGTTGGCGCCAGGGCCACATTGTGGCTGGAAAAATGCCAATTGGAGAACTCAGTGACAGTAATTCTTAGGAAGCCTCTGTAGTTGCAGCATCAGGCAGTTCACAGGTTTGAATCCTGGGATGTAAGTAGTATGATCTTCATCCTTTGACATTTTCACTTTCATGTCGGTCATCTAGTAAAGAGATATCTCCATCTGTCCCTGCGTTCTCAAATGTCTTTCTCCTCTTGAGTTTCTTCTCACAACCTTTCTTACTTCTGTATGACATATTTCCCTGCATGTTGGTCAAATCTTGAGGCTTGTCTTCTTGTTCATTTTGCTTTCATTTTCACTTCTGAAAGTTTCTTTGGAATTCTGTATTTGTTCATTCTTAAAACATTTTCACACCATCTTATTCTGTTATGTAATATATTGTATCCAATATATTGATCTTTAAATTCCCACAATTTTTTAACTCTTTATTGTTTCAATTCTCATTTTTCCTTCTGCTCTTCTTGAAACTGTTTCAGCAATTAGCCTAAGTGTTAGGGCAGGCAATACAGTGTTCCCTGCCACACTGAGAACCCTGATGTCACACTATTTCACCCATTCCTCTCAGCCAAATTTCTGAGACTGGGTACTGTCGTTGTTACCTTTACATCTTCCACACAGAAAATGCCGTCACCAAAATTAGACAACTTTAGTTTTCAATTAGTCTTTTTAGTGTATTGATATGAGTAGAACATTTGAATCATAAATTCGTCAATATATTAACATTTGGGTCATTTCAAAATGTTCCTACAGCAGACCTTTTAATAACACCAAATTAGATGGAAGACACTCATGAATAATGTGTAGGTAATGATTTGGATGGATGTAGTATTTATTTCTTAAAGATATTTTATAAAAATTCACAGACTTACCCCATGGAGCAGAGTCATTCTTGAGAAGGTAATAATTGCTCAGCTTGTTAACAAATTCCCAACATTTTATTTAAGTTGAAAGTTCTTTGCCATTTTCACAAGAACCAATCTCTGGTCCCTATTCTGAACCAGATGAATCCAGTTCACATCCTCTCATCGTATTTCTTTAAGATCCATTTAATGTTATCCTTCCATCTACATATAGGTATGTCAAGCTGTATCTTTCCCTCAGATCTTACCAAGAGTTTGCATGCATTCCTCCCATGCCCCATGCCAAATGCCCCATTTATCTCATACCCCTTGAGTTAATCACTAATAATATATGTATCTGGCAAGGAGTGAAAATTATGAAGCTCCTGTGTGTGTTCGCATGTGGGTGTCTATGAATCTCTTTTACTGAGGGAAATCAGACAGGACTTTTTGGAGTGAGCCACTGTGGCTGGTATGAAACAAACCTGGATAAAGTCAGTGGCATTCCTAAGACTGTTCACAATATTCTGCACCAGGCGATCTCTTTCATCTGGTTTCAGGACATTCCTCCAGAACAGAGTTGGCTGACTGAAGTTGTCTTCGTCTGCTGAGTTATATCTGCAAAAAATTTAGAACTTTCAGAAACAGTACAGGAACACATTTCTTTAGACCAAGTGTTCATAAATTTGTGACAGATTGTGCCCCCCCCCCCACCATGATTGAAACTGTTGTTGTTATCAGGTTTAATGCGAGAGAAATCCAGCATATTTATCATCATCCATGTCCATCAACTGCAGCCGCATTCTCAGAAATCATCTATGTTAAATCTTAGTGATTTTCTGACATGCCAGAAGTGTGCAGGGATACAAATATATTTTACATAATTCTTTAAAACTCAGCAACCCCCAATGCTTTGATTGGAGGTGGCATCTAACCACTAAAGTTAAATATCCCTCCCATGTTTGATGTACAAATTGTTGCATGTAGAACAGTTGATGTTGTGATGCGCAGGCTAAAAGCTGGAATACCAGAGTCAGAGCCAGGCATCCATTGCCAGGCAACGGCTGGGCGAATGTATTCCCAAGCACTACAAGAATAGGCACCCATTACTATTCAACGGCTCTATTTACTATGTTTCCCTGTTTCAGTGTTGAAAGCTGATAACCACAGCAATGAATTTTATGTTGCAAAAGAATGGTTTCTTAAAAGAGAGATATTCAGAGTGACACCCTTCTGGCCAGTGTCTGTTGTCACAGCCGCCTAAGAGTAATGAGCCTTGGAAGTGTGACCAGAACACGAGAGAACGTGGAAGAAGGAGAAGTGACTCGGCAGCGAATCAACATGCTTTCAAGAACAAAGCAGAGCTATGCAGAGAGGCATTCGTTATCCAGGAGTTGAGTGTCTGAACAGTTATAATCATGTGTAATTGTAATAGTGATGGCAAATAAACCTAATCATGAAATCTAGAAACCACAGTTACTACTCATGTTACCCCAGATACACATGACAATATGCAACAATTGTAAGATCCCCCCCCCCCATATTTGATATTTCCTTCCATATTAAATGATTTCTGCTGCTCCTGCCTTCATTCAGTGACCTTTCATTGGCAGTAATATAAATATGTTATGGAACACTGTAGTAGACTGTTTTAAGTATTGAAACACAAACAGTTTTCATCACAGTGTATGGGAATTTTATGTTCTTCATTTGACAGAGTTCTGAGAAACTTGATCTCTTTTAAGGGGTGGTGTAGAATTTTTCAGTCACCTGCGGCAGGAATTAGGCTGTGCGAGACCTGTCTGTAACAAGTAACTTGTGACATTTCTAGTTACCTTGCAACACTGGGCAGGTTGGTCCTTGCCTTGGATTTTAGGTTCTAATAGCTGTAGTTATGAAGAATTCTGCCTTCTATGATATAAGGACATGTAGTCTGTTGAAAGTCAACTGATGTTTTGGAGGAACATGTCACCTCCATATTCAGGATTGAAGGATAAGCCAAGCAAGAAACTGGCATGAATGCAGATAACACAGCCATATATCCCAGAAGATAGAACCCTTGTACTTGAAGTTCGCCAGTTCAAGCCTGGTCTGAGACAACAAGGGTGTCTGTGGTTTTACTCAGTCACTCCAGTCAGATTCCAGGATAGTATCTCAAATAACTGTTCCCTTCCAGATATTCTTCTGTTTCACTGATCCTACCATTTGACACAATATGATCTCAGGTATTGACAGCAGTGCTAAGAAAACTGTATAAATAAATAAATGCTTACCTGGCAACATCTCCTGTGACATTGAACCTGGAAATTGCAGCACTTGGATCGTTTTTTGGTCCATTGAAACTGTTAGGGAAATAGTTAGGTGCACCACCTTGGTTGTCAGTGAAAGTTTGTGGTCCATCACGCTGAAAGTTTGTAATCTTTGTTCGGAATGGATTATTTACAGGAAACTGCAGATAATTTGGCCCTAAACGGTACCTCTGGGTGTCTGAATAGGTGAATAGGCGTCCCTGTGTGAAGATACAATAAAGTCGATAAGCTTGTGATAATGCAATATTAATAACACATGTAACCTTAAGCAGTGACAATTCTTTGATTTTATGAACACATGAGGACAACAAAACTCCAGAAATTTATGTCATATACTTTTCTTACCAAATTTATTGGATATCACAGCATTTACTTCACACAACCTCTTCCCTATCAATTGACTTATATGACAGAGAAAAAAGAAAGCAAGGAGGACATATCATAAAAATTATTGAAATACAAGGTGTTCCAGCAGGAAAGATCAATATTCTGGAGGTCATAAGATCGGTCATTCTAAGCAAAATACTGTATATGCACTTGTATCCTATTCTGAGTGGTTTCCAAGATAGATCTATTTCACTGTACAGTACACTGTACTCTGTACAGATGAGCAACATGTGACCTCACACAAGTTGCAAAGTGCATTGATGTTGAAGGTGGAATTTTAAAAAATGTATTATACTAGGTAAAATGTACCAACTTTGTCACTTGAACAATAAATACAGGTATTAGAAACAGTACATAATATCTCTTTCTTATCAATTACTTTGGAACTGTGCAGTGAAATAGCCGTATCTTGGAAACCATTCAGAATGGGACACATATACATACACACTTTTTTGCTTAGAGTGAACAATACTGTGACCTACAAGAATATTGACATTTCCTCTTGAGACACCTTGTATATACCTGTGACTAGAGCAAAATCAGTATGAAAACATATAGACTTAAAATTTATATAACTTTGCAAAGATCTTTGTTGGCAATAAACCTATAAAATTTAAACCTGAAAAATTATACAAGCAGATGAGATGAGATTGTCAGCATTAAATTAAGTGTCTGTCAGATGACCATACTTACTAAATTTGACTTAATGAAAGGAAATACAGACAGAATATAAGTAGAAATTAGTGTCAGTGTTACCTACATGAAGCATTTTGTCAGGGCTGGGTTCAATGCCTGGGATCATATGGGCTGGACTGAAACCAATCTGCTCCACTTCAGCAAAATAGTTTGAAGGATTCTGGTTCAACACTATTTTGCCCACTGGAATCAAAGGGAAGTCCTCTTGAGGCCATACCTGTATCACAGTGCAATGTGACATCAGCAGAATTCATGCATGTGACTGGAGACAGAAATCCATCAGATTAACAAGTTCAAACCTCTTTGGTAAAGGAATGTAAATAGCAAGTCAGGAAACAAAGTCCTAAGGAAAAGAAGTTATTGAAATAGGATATGTGTAACAGAAATAGAGCAGCCAGACTGCAGCTTACTACAAATTTCTATCAAGTACCAAGCTCTGAAATGTTGTGGGTCTTACCTCCACGTCTCACACACATTTTATGGTACTCTGCTCAAGCATATAATCGAAATTATCTTTATCTTTACATAAAGATTAACTCCTTAATTTACATTTTGTACCTAGTATGAAGTTAGAATGGTCCTGACATATAGCTGGTAAGTGACAAAGGGGACTGGAAAGCATATTGTATAAACTAGCAAAAGTCTACCATATCAGTATTCAACAAAATCTGCAGGAGGGTCATTCATGGCCTTATGTTAGCTAGGTTTCATTATGAATCAGTACAGCCGAAAATCTGAATTGTGCAACAGCTTGAGTGATAGACACCCACATCGAACTTCAACAAAATATGTGAGACAATTTATTATGAGATGCATGGAATATTCCATTTATGGCTTTGTATGAAGCAGGTGTTATTGAGGATCAGCATGGTGGAAAATTATAGTTACTGGGTTGATGGAAGTCCTCCATGATGAATTTCAAGAAAATCTATGAAATAGTTTATGGGATGCACAGAAAGTCAATTTATGGTAGCATGTAAATTATGCTTAATTTTGGATCAGTATGGCTGAAAGTTGGCCGTGCCATAGCCCAAGTGGTTAGTTGCTGGCTTTCCACCGTGGCGGCCCGGGTTCGATCCCGGGTCTGGTCAAGTGGGATTTGTGGTGGACAAAGTGGCGCTGGGGCAGGTTTTCTCCAAGTACTTCGGTTTCCCCTTCCAATCTTCATTCCACCAATTGCTCCACAATCACCCTCACCTATCATCAGGGGCTGGTGCAATAGGCCAGAAGTGGCTGCAGTACAAGGGACTTAGTTCCACCCCACTAGCAATAAAAAAACTGAAAGTTGAATTACTAAACAACTTTTAGTGACTCCCCCTCCCCAATCAAATTTTAAGAAAGTCTGTCCAATGGCTTATACCCTGTTACTAGGTCATGGGCAGAGAACAGATATGACCTCCAATATGGTAATTATTATTACTTCACAAAGAATGGCTAGTGAGCACATTGATCAATATAGAACATTAGCAGTGCACTTTGATTTGCATTAAAGAAGTACAGGTTAAAATCATGTCTGGAGACTGGTTATCCTGAATGTTTCATTGTTTTTTAATTAACCCCCCCCCCCCAAAAAAAAAAGNAAGTTTCTTGTGATAGCATCTCAGATAGCGCTGCATTATCTCAGTTGCTCCTATAAGAAACCAAAGAAAGAGAAGAAGCAGCTATAATTTCAGGGACACATCTTAGGAAGCAGGGCTCTGAAGAGCAAAACAGAGATAGGGCTCTAAAAATGAAGCAGTTTTGAAAAGTTCGATGGTCAGCATAATAATTGTATAATAGTATGGAAGTGGATTTTCTGAGAAAAGGCTGAAAGCAATGAATTTGATTTGATTTAAACTGACTCAGCACAGGGTCCAGTTGTAAGCTGTGATATCAACAGTGTTCAATGTTGGAATTACAGATATTTTACCAGAGAATTACTGTCTTTATTAAGTTAAATGACTTATTTAAGTACCTTGGTTAAGTCAAAAGGGTTCCATTTGAAATGCTCGGCTTCTTCAAAGGTCATGACTTGAATGTAAAAGGACCATGTGGGGAAGTCCCCACGTGCAATGGCATTGTACAGGTCACGGATGGCATAATCTGGGTCTGTGCCTCCTATGATGGCAGCTCTCTCTGGGGATAAGTTCCTTATGCCCTGATCAGTCTGTAAAAATGAGCATGAAACTCAACACTTCAGTCACACCGTATGGTATGAAATATGTATATATCTCATTAAACTTATTCTTGTAGAGAATGTAGAACAGAAACATGACAAACATAAGAAATGTACTATTCACGATCACATTTTGCAGGGATATAACTGATGCAGTATTGTGAATTTTTGGATGGTGGTAGATCATAATTAAATTCTTATTTGAAATAATTTTGTGTATGTCAAAAGTTGCAAACTTAGTGAGAATGTGAATTTATGTTCTTATTTATGACAACTTTTTCATGAACTGACAATATGCTACAGATAACAGATTAAATTTTGCAAAAAGAAATGTCATTAAGTTGCATAGTTTTCTGTTTTTAATCTATGCTAATTTTACATGCAACTGGTAGCGTTTGGAAGTAATTAGGCGCCTAAGGTTCTGAGTGTAATTGTAATGGTATGTTAATCTTTCAATTTTCCACCACACAGAATACATCAGAATCCCATATACTTACTGAGGAATCTCAACCCAAATGGAAATAAGATCTATGTATGAACATAGACCCTGAAAGGCTTCATTACCAAGATACAGACATTTGCATTAGACATGTCTGGGAGAAACAAAGTGTCTAGCATCTTTCTGTTACTTCTCCTACTCTTCACCCTGAAGAAATATTCATTCAGCAGTCTCTTTGTCCACTTATTTATACCCACTCCAATCCATTTAACCATATTCAATAATCTTTTCAAATAGTTTTAATTTTCTCGAATGTTTTGGTTCATTTTTATGAAATCTTATACATAGGCCTTTAAGGAAGCAACTTTCTGATCAGTGTGCTGTCAGGTGTCTATTTTGTACCCTGCACCAAATACAGAATACCAAAGCGTAATATGGAGTCAGTTGTACTTGTTTCCAAGCATATATGATATTGGGGACATATTCATTTGTAGTTTGTTGTTGCAGATTGAATCATAATTCCTATTTACTTTACAATTATAATAATAAACTTCCATTTATTCAACACTTCATGTTTAAATGATGTGGCAAGCTTCGAATTTAATGGCATGTGTAATACAGGTATAATTCCTTCTTCCTGTTCCAATTCAGATTTAACTTCTAAAATTATGAATTGTACAGTGAGTTGCTAGGATTATTTGGATGGGGCATAAGCCAACTGCAAGATCTCTACCAACACAGACAAAGAATAAGTGTGGACATACATCGATGCCCTGAATGGGATTCGAACCCATGATCCTTGGGTTGAAGTGATGAAAATACAACCTCAGACAGTGAGACCACTGTGAACAGCTCATCTCATTCCCATGGTTAAATATTATGATAAGAATTAATTATCATAATCTTCTCTAGTACTGGAAGTAATTTACAGATGCTAACATGAAATTTACTGCATACTCTAAACATGTCTCTGTGAAATTTCCAATTTCTATTTTAACTTAATTATTCTAGTACATTCATTTCTTGAGAAGCTGTTTTTTTCTTCCTGACCATTTCTAGTATATCATCATTCCATTTTTCTGCCAAAAACACACATCTGTGGGTGTATTAAGGAACTGTTGTGCTATATGTACTGATTAAAGTGCCAAGTTCTTAGGCTGAGGCTTGTATCATTTTGTAAAAATATGTTTAACAGATTATTTGCTATAGTCCCAGAGACAAAGTTGTGGTACTATTTATTTAATTATTAACTATTCAGATATAGTATTTTGGTGTTATTCATTCTTTAAAATTTTATTTGCTATGTACTGTGATATGAGAAGGAGAACAACAGGTACTTCTGCTAGCCATATATAATCAGCCAAAAATATTGAATTTCTCATTTCCGTTAATTCCTTCCTCTTCTATCTGTTAGCCATATCTGTGCCAGTTTTTGCTATGGCATTATGGAACAGTTCATGTAATTTCATATGAAATATAAAATTCTTTCTGAAACATTTTACAAAATATAGTGCAGGGCTTAGCTGAGCTATCTGCTTTACAGTAGACAGTGAAACATGTGGTGACAATAGAGAAAGTATAAAATGGGTGATGCACCTTGTAGTGAAACTTGACATACACGGCCTCATGTCTGTTATTCACCATCTTGAAGGTGTGGGAGCCAAAGCCATGCATGTAGCGGTACCCATCAGGGATGCCTCTGTCAGAGAATGTGATCATGGTCTGGTGAGTAGTCTCTGGACGCAGGGAAATGAAGTCCCAGAACATGTTGGCATCCTGCAATATTTCCAGCACTTTGTTAATGAAATTGTATTATTAATTCATTAACTCATCAACTCATTTGAGCCCTGCATGACATTAGTTGCTGGGGCATTATGTCTGTGAAAAGTCTGTGAATGAGAGATGAAAAATTTCATAGTAGTAGTGGTGATGTTGGTAGTAGCAGTAGTAGTTCATTACTAGTTCAATGCTGTCACGTGATAGAATGACTATAGATAGGGTTTGGATTGGTAATTGGATTTACTGGACACTTAGACATACAACTCATGACTATGCTTTACAAATCACTATGACACACGAACTAGTGTCACAATCTTCACTGTGCTACTGGGTAGGAGCTTCCAGTGTTGAAACATTCTCAGCTTTTGCGTCAAATTGCTCCTGTCCTTGCTGGCTGATACCTTTCATCTGCAGCTCCTGAGCTACACTCACTGGATTCCAACTGCTGAAATGCACAGTCAATTCCTTATGTAGCCTTGGCACAGACCGCATAGTTAAAACACATTTCCAAAAAGTTCTACTGTTGCATCACATAGCTATCGGTATGGACCACATAGAGGAAACCATTTCTCAGGTACTCTAGTGTTGCATGTTATAAAGCTATTGCCTGGCAATGGGCACATTTGCAGAGCTGTTCCCTAGCAATGGTTATCTCTGCTGGCTTCACCATTCTTGCCTTGAGTACAAATGACACAATACTAAGAGTCTGGATAAGCTTTGTAGTTACAAATACAAGGGATTTGTGATATATCTGGTACACTTAATTATGAATATCTTAATTGATTATATATAGTATACACATTCTGTATTAAAATGTATAGGGGAGTGGAGGTATAGCTCCACCAGTCGTAACACTGGTACTAGATGTAGGTTGCTCAGCATCACACCTTGTTTGTAATACCCCTGGGGATCAATCCCCCACCGTCACCCACTGGGGGGGGGGCTGAGTGGTCCCCAGAGCCAGTATGAAAGCTGTGGACAGGAGAAAACGCCCTTGCCTCTGATGGAAATGTAACCCGCAATTCCTTGGTCATCCATTTCGTAGACTAGTCCCCCATACATCTTCTTGAAGTGTTGCTTCCTTAATTAGGCACAGGGGCTGCTGTAAAGGCAAAGCTATTCCTGTAACACACTGTGGAGGCCCATAGGGTTGTGAGACATTGAAGCTCCCACATTTTCTGGACTGTTGGCTCACAGATAATGGTGAGGTTGTCAGCTTTATGCTCCAGCCGCCCTTTACCCTCAGGAAGAATCCTGGTACTCATTTCTATTAGAGGCTGAGTTGCTCCTGGGTCATAGTGCGACTAGAAGGATTAGTCCGATTTAAATATCAAATGACCTCATTGGAAATTGAACCTGTGACCTTTCAGCTTGCGGCATAGTGCCTCAACCAACTACACTACTGTGTGTCCCTGGTATGGACACTGGATAAAATAAAAATCTCTGCCCCCTGGGAATTGAACCCTTGTTTACTTTGTGAGTATAACTTATTCTGGAATGTGTTATTAGGGTAAAACAATCATATTGGACAATGCGATATTTTAAGAAGGTAACTTCACAAGGCTGTGGGTATCGAGATTATATGTTGTCTGACAGTGGTAAAGGGATGTTTTTCGGCAGCTGATATTTGTTCAGCTGGTCAAATATTCCCTGCTTTTACAAAAGCAAATGTTCTTTCCCATGATCACATCCTTTCACTGGCAGTGTTTTCAACCCTGATAATGGAGGCACTGAGTTCCTCACAAATGGTAGTATGTAATTAGACTGCATGTCTAGTCTCAGCAGATTGTCATAGCAATCACCATGAGGACCTCAAACCTCAAGCTGATATACGAATTTTCCTGTGGTGCAGTTCCTTGATGAAGTGGACACAAACATCTGACACTGTAAATCCAGTGTTAGTGGAAATATAAGTTTTGATAGATGCATTACATGTTCACATTACCCTTAGGTTTGTTGCAGGATTTCTTTTCTGCGAGTGGATGAACAAGGGAAATAAAATGGGGTCCCGGAGGAAGAAAATTGGGGTGTTATTTCCCACAAGGTCCCAGATTCCATCTTCTGTGTAGAATTTTATGGAAAATCCCCGAGGATCCCTGCAACAATCATAATGGATTATAAAACAGGTGAAATCTTCATTTTGAAGAATTACTGCTTTGGCATTAATATAATTGTCATCAAATATTCTACATGTCTTATATTTAAACATGCACATTTGGAAATTCGGCTTCAATTCTCAACCCAAAGGCTGGCTATAATATTTCATATTTTCCTAGTTTTGGTTTGTCCCTCTCTCTGTGATGCTGCCCCAAATTTTGGGATGACCACTTCATTCCACATCTCATCATTATCTGTTATGCTCCCATTTGATGCTCTAGACCTGTAATCTAAGTACTTCAGAAAGCATAGTTAAATATGAGTAACATCATATTGTTTGCTTGTTCACTGCGAGCCTCTTTTCACGAGATAAATAAAGTATAACTTTTTCAGAAGCCGCCAGTTGTGCAGCTACTCAAGTATTTCCCAAAATTCATGGAACCCAAAGTTTCATTGCCATGTTCACAAGAGCACTCCACTAGTCCCTATCCTAAGTCAGATCAATCCAGTCCACACCACCCAATCCTATCTATCTAATATCCATCTCAATCTTATCCTCTCACCTACGTCTAGGTTTTTCTGATGGTTTCTTTCTACTTGGCTTTCTCCTCAAAATCCTTCATTCTTTCATCGTCGCCCCCATTTGCGCTACATTCCCTACCCAACTCATCCTCCTTGACTTGATCATTCTAATTTTAATTGGAGAAGAGTACAAGTTATAAAGTTCCTCATTATGCAGTTTTCTCCAACCTCCTGTCACTTCATCTCTCTTCGGTCCAGATGTTCTCCTTAGCGCCCTGTTTTCAAACAAAATATATTACACAATAAAGAAAGAAATACCTAACATCAGTAATCTGAAAACTTCTGAAGGGCCTTGGAAGGCATTAAACTTGATAGGATAACAATATGCCTGAAGTGGTGCTATATTATTAGGTTAGCCCATAAGACAAACTTGTGTCTCAAATACCTAAGCTCTCGCCCCGACCCCTCAAAAAAAAAAAAAACTGGCAACACAGTGTTGACATGGTTTCTGCCTGGTTCACTTCCAAACAGCAGAGACACATTTACAGCTGCCAAAACTTGACCAACTACAAGTGCAATACTAATCTTGAGAGTTGTGAGGAATGCAGCAAGTCAGAAACATTAGAGGCATTGTAACATGGATCAGCAACTACTACCTGAACCAGAACAGAATTGCTTTAGTTTAGCCCAGTTGAGCCCTTCACAAATACGCTATTGGCCAATATGTTCAGAACTGATACTGTACAAAGTAGGTAGGTTTATCTCTGTCTCTTCTCACCTTGACAGTCCTTTCATCCCTCACCCAACTTCCTTGCCCTGCAAATGTCAAGATTAAGAGTCTCTGTCACTACAAGAGTCTGTTCTTGAATGATTTGGCCCCCAGATAGAAAATAAACACTGAAAGACAATTCCACTAACAAGTTTATTTTGACATTATCTCAGCACACTCAGTTTTGTCCCCATGTCCATTTTGTGTTGATGTGTAACTTAACGTTAGTCTTAATTATCTCAAGTAGAACAAAAACAATTCCTATCTCTAGGCAGAGTTTCCCAAACAAGGCATGAGTCCAGGTCTCCCCACGGACACAGTATGTCACAGTGTAGTAATATCTACGCTTCACATTCTGGACTTCACATTGATAACAGTGTGTTAAACTGCAGATACTTGTGGTTTTCCTCAGGATTTTAGATAATTATTGGGATAATTCCCTGAAATACCCATTGAGCACCTTCTTCCAATCCCGTGTAACACATCACATGAGAGCAAATGATCTAACTCTGCTGTAGAGGTCTAAGTGTCACTTTCTGTTTCGCACTTGAGGAATAAGTCCTCAGTGCCGCTACAGTAACCTGAGATCCAAGATTGTGCTCACTTTGGATTGGCTTGCCCGCCATGTTTTTTGGTTCAGAATTATATCAGCAGTCAGTGACATGGCACACGCCACTATTGGAGGAAGTACAGTAAACCTTCACTAATCCAGTTACAGTTAACCAGGATGTCAGATAATCTGGATCGAAATAGGAAAATTGCTCTTCACAGTCGAGTACACACTTTAAAAGGCACATAGCATTTAGGAAGGCAGATGAGTCACTTGTCTCTTCAGACAAAACTTGGCAGTTTCTTCAAACCTGCATTATTGTCTTAATAAAGTACAACTTCTGAGTCTTCTATTGATGAATAAATGTATTGTCTTCTCATAGTTTTTAAATAATGGCTGTACAATGATATTCTTCTATTTATTTTTGTCAGCACTTTTATCATTATGTTTTCCATTTATTTGTGTTCTAAGTTTTATTTTGTCTTTTAGGGCTACCTTTTACTTCACTAATCCGAATTATCCTTTAATCTGGACAACCTCCTCCCACCATTTACCCCGGATTAGAAATGTTTTACTATACATACAAATGTACTTTTGTCAGCAGTATTTGTTCATTATTTCGTAGTATTGTACAAAACAAAACCTCTCGATTTTCACTTCTACAGATTGCATCATCAATTGTGCAGAAGTTTCGTTTAACATCATTGTTACTTGTTCTTGCTTTCAAATTTTCCATTAGTACCATTATGTGTGACGTAGCGACCTCGTCTCCTTCCGCACTCTCCACAGAAGCATGTGTATTGAACATGAAACATGACAGGACCACAAAATAGCGCCTTGTCGGCCTCTTTCATCTGCGCTTAGCCAGTTCACACGACCTTGAACGGCGGCAGCAATGACGGAATACAGTATCTACAGTGTGGCTTCTCAACAAGCCGGAAGGTCACGTTTTCGATTCCCGATGAAGTCATTGGAATTTTCAATTGATTTAATCCTTCCACCCGCACTGTGGCCCTGGAGTCGACTCAGACTCTAAGAGAAATGAGTACCAGGAATCTTCCTGGGGGTAAAGGGCGGCTGGCCGGCCGGCACCTAAAGCTGAAAACCTCACCGCCGTCTGTGGGCTGATTTTCTAGAAAATATGGGAACCTCGACGTCTCACCACCTTCTGGGCCTCCATGGCCTGTTACAGGGAGAGCTTTGCCTAACAATGTAGCTTAGCATCCGAACTGCAGACTTTACTCTTTACGTCATGGTTCATCATTGTTCTGTGTCGTGAACAACTCGCGTGTGCATATGAGATGCTAATTTCTTTTTCTGGATGTGAGTTTAGTTTGTTTTCCAGGCAGCACCAAGCAATATATACTTGCAAACTTGCGTTTGAGTCGTTTAAGAATATTTTTACTGATCGCTCTGCAATATTTAGAATAGAAACATATTTGGTATAATTTTCACCCATTTTTCTTAAATTTTCGTTTACTTTCAGAGACCTGGGGGGGCAACCTCCCCCTTCACCCCCCCCCCTCAACGCTATAGCTGACCCACGCTTGCGCACTGAAAATCGGCTACATGAAATTTCGAAATTGTGCATTCTGGCCCATCATAGGGCATGGCGTCGTTTTGAATGAAATTTAATAATCACCTGCAGATTTGGGGCCCACCATGCGACGATAGATCATTACGGCTCTCAAGCTCTGACACTTCTTACGACGAATATAATTTAATTAATCGCTTTTTGTAGCGTTTTTTTCCCTCTTATCTTGGAAATGCTCCATTTCTCTTGCAACATGTAGCGACTTTTTCAGAGTTGGAACTTCGTGTTGCAGATCGTAAAGTTGGTGCATGTCTCCTATTGTCGCCTCTCCACATCATCGACAATGCTGTGTTGTTCGCGGGAAGGAAAGTTAAGTCAAAAATTGGCGAAAGAGCGATAAGGCCACACAACATTCTCCTTATTAAATGGATAAATACGTCTCCAAGCACAATGTTTTCCATTCAGTGACACAATGAAATACTGAGTTCAGTACATTACTGTGTAAACATCTATTGTTGTATCTTCTTTCACTGTGAAGTGATCTTTATGGATTAACCGTCATTTCCGTAATACAGCAAAGTGAATTTTCGTTTTGTTTCGGATTGTTCTTTCCTGGAATCGAAAGCTTCGATTCCCCCCAGCTTCACGTACGTCACTTCTGTACCCGTTTAAACAGATACCTGTATCAGATTACAGATATATTAAATGTAAGACTGCTAAACTCGTCAGTTACTTCTGGGGCTGTCATTCCTTGTCTGCTCGTCACAAAAAAGAACATTCCGTAAATAAACTTTGTTTGAAAAGAGTATTCCTCATCTTGTTTGCTGTCATGCAGTGTACTTCCGTAGAGTCCATCGGCGTTACTGAGGAACATATTGCCTCCGTCTTTATGGTTGAAGGGAGAAGCTAGAAAGCAGCAAGGAACAGACTGCAAGAAAAGTCTCTTTCTTGGGTTACTCTTCTTCCCTTAAAATGGAGGCGATCCTTTCATCAAAATTGTCGATGGACTTTTACTAAACTACATGATATCCGAGCGCACAAGATGGACGTGTTAACACGCCTTCATCATCACTGTTAGACTGGATTCCACAAAGGTGAAGTCTGCAACGAGATTGACACTAGGAAGGATGTAAAGTTTTCTTAGCGGTGGGGGCGGGTTCTTCCCCAAAACAGGGGTGGTCGTGCAATATACACTCGTAATGCAAATATTTTCTGGGGGTTCGAATCCATTGGCCACGCTTGTGTAATAATCAGCTGCGGTCCTAATACGAGAAATTACCTGACAAAGGCGACATACCTGATCGTATCGGCCGATCCGGTTTCTCCCGTTACAAATGAGAACCGAACTGCGATTGGTGTTTTCTTCCCAATGTGTGAGAACACCACAGCCTTGGTGTGCTGTGTGATATCGTGTGTGACTTCGAAATAACCAAAAGCACCTGTAAAATAAGTTTAACAGTTTAAGTTGAGTTGTCATAGCATACGAAAAATATCATACGAAATAGAAGCATTAGATATGATTCTTGGCTTATTTAACGACAGTTTACAACTGCCTTGATTATACAGCATCGAATGTTATGATGCTGAGTTTGAATTAAAATGAATTTTACCAAACTCAGGCAGTTAGGCGCAGACTTCTCACCGTGTTGCCTATTGTTCAGTTCCGGGCGACATCATGTGGGATTTGTTGTGGAAGAAATGGTGCTGGAGCAGGATTTTATTTGAGTTTTTCCGTTTTTTTTTCAGACTGACCATTATTCTTCCATTGTTCCATACTCATCTATCACCGCCAACCTGAAGTGTCTAGCAGCCCCTACCAGGCAGCACATTATCACATCCTCAGCTTTAAACTTTATTTTTGATTCTCGTTGCGTGTCATTACTTGTGATACTCTGGTCGTCAACACAACAAATATTTGTGAGAGCTACGTTCTCTCGGCGGTGACTATGAAGAATGCCGTCCTCTGGGATGTGTCACCGTGTAGATATAGTATAAACCGACTTATGGATTTTCTCTTTTTTTTTTTACCCTGAAGATGGAGGCGATATGTTCCTCCGATACGTCGGTTTATACTATATCTACGCAGCGCCACATCCCAGAAGACGGAATTCTTCAATAAATATTTCAAAATAAACCAATGTAATTGTAGGCACTAATTTTAATTAATACATCTTTTTACAATTTTATTAATAATTACATATATTATGATAATTGTAATTATTAACACTAATATGGATCCATATTAGGATATTTCAATAACATGAGACGTGTTTAATGAAGCTCCCTGAGGATGATCCAAAATATGAACCGAAACACGTTGCAGTTATTAAATAAACCAGGATAAACAACTAGATTCGTTTATCCTGAAATAGTTGCTGTGTTGACTGCCAGAGTATAAAAAATTCAGTCTAACCCGGCACTGGGCTGATTGCAGAGTGAGGAAATTAGTTTTTAACGAAAGAAACTATCACGGTTTATCTTAAGACACATTCACGTCATTCATCGGGAAGAACTCAGGAAAACCGCGAGGAAAGTTAGTCTCCAGGGACGAAACTAGAACCCTGAACCTTCTAAATACGAAGGAGTCTTAATCACTTGCAAGTGATCCTCGATCAAGATAATTCATGAGCACTGATACGTATCGTTGCTTTCGTCCCATAAACCATTCTCATCCTGCATATAATTTCCCCTGGCACACCCTTGCGGTAAAGTAACGCAAAATTGTCATACTTCTACAGCGCTATTAATCAACTTGCAAAATCCTCAGAATGACTGGGGTTTTTGTTCATTGTCCGATATTCTAACAAAACTAGAGGACGCAGCGTTTCGGGAACTGGATCTGTTTCCTTCCTCAGGTGAGATGAGTCACCTACTCTGTTGGGTTCCCTAGAAAGTTCCAGTCAATCACTGGACAGATGCAGGCAGAAAACATATGCAGTTTCCGAAATGTTGTGTTCTTTAGTTTTGTTAGAATAGCGGACGATGGACAAAGTCCAAAAACACAATAATACTGAAATGGCGAAATCTCCTTGAAATTGGTCACCTGAAGGACAAAAATTGCATATCATTTAGGTAAATCCTAGATACTATGTGAGCAGGACATATGGATGTGAATGGGTTAGATTCGTTCCCAGTGGCATGGTTGAGTGTAAGTGGTGTTGATCTCTAGCACTACAGAGAAGTGCGTCCGCGCCGAACTCACCTGCCCCCTTGGCATGTACCACCCTCTCAGGGATGCGTTCTCTGTCGAAGTGCGCCAGTGTGTCCAGGAACACAACATCCTGCATGACAACGGGCCCGTGGTAGCCAACCGTCAGTGTGGAGGTTATGTCGTCTACTGGTACTCCATAACCTGTCACCACTCTGCCACCGCCGTGCTGTAAAAAGATGCAGAAAGTCTTTCGAAAGGCTACCACACGAAATGGGCACTGTCGGTTTCTTTCCAAACGGGGCATCCAAATTTCTTCTTCAAATATTTAGCCATTTAAGACAACTGCTACTGATCGCCTTAGAGTATTCAAGATACGAGGGATAATCAATATATAGGTAAAAAATTGACATAAAACGTAAAACATGTGATATTCGAACCTGGAAAAATCTTTTATTTTTCGACATATCCTCCACCAACATTGATACATTTGTCCCGTAGCTTTACCAGTGCGTCGAAATCCGCAGCATAGAAGTCTTTTGGCTCTTGTCTCAGCCACTACCGCACTTCCGCTTCAACATCTTTGTCATCAGCGAAAAAATTCCCGCCCAGTTCTGAACCGATTTAGTCGACAAACACTTCTCGCCGTAAATAGAAAATATATCTTTATGGATATCCTTTGCATTGAGCTCTTTGCCCATAAAAACCGCACAGTAGAACGCTGCTCTTCGGTAGTACACTCCTCAAGCACTGTCGTTATTTTGACTACTGAAATAAGTCCCTGGAAATGCGCATGCTCCTTTGCTACCTAGACTGTAATGAAGCTGGACTGTGCTGCTACCTAGTGATACAACACACACACAACTTATTACATCCATTACTGCTGTTTTACTTTCATCTGTGACCTATTTACTGACTTCCTCATAGAATAGTTTTAGAAAATGTAATTTCATTTTGGGTATTAATATTTGCTACAGTTCCTTCTTTGTTTCAATTCAGTTTTACTCAAAGTATTCGGCGAAGACGGGATAGTTCAGTCGGTAAAGTGATGGGCTACGGGCTGGAAGACCGCGTTTCAATTCCGGCGAGGGGGGAATTTTCTCTTCTTCAGAGCATCCAGACCGGCTCTGGGGCCCACCCAGCCTCCTATCCAATGGGTACCGGGGGCTGTTTCCCTGGATAATAAAGCGGCGTGAAGCTGACTACTCACCTCCATCTAGTGTCGAGATCAAGAGTGACGGAGCTATACCTCCACTTTCCCATGTGCTTTCATGGCATAGTGCTTAATTAAGTATATGGAGAACCTTACCTCTTACCCTCATACAGGAGGCAGGTACATGGCTCCCCTGCACCCCACCACCAGCACATCCCCCCCATCGACTGTCGGCAGCCATGCCGCTTGATGTAACTAAAAAACTTACTTCTTTGCTCAGTGCCCAGAGAATTGCCGGAGGTTGGCAGTTAATGTTGTCACGTGTTGGGTATGTCACGCGACAAATAACTTCACGTGGGTCTCGGATTTAGCGAATCTTTATTGGACACTCACACTTACACATCTTACAATTATTATCACTTGCAGTATCACTTGACTTCTGGCCCAGTACTCTAATACTTCAACACTGCAATGCGACGTCTCAACTATCTTTGACCGTCGTTGGATCTCAACTGTCTCTGGTGGCGGCTATCCCAATACTGACTTCTTGCTGTCTTGTTGCTGTCTTCTGTCTCTGTAGCTCTCGGCTAATGTAGCTGTTTTGCGGACTGGATACCAGACATCATTCCTCACGGTTTCATTTCTACTGTCCGCTGTTACGTAACGGGTCTTCAGTTGTTCATCTCCGTGGAGATTCGGCGTTCTCTACGCAACGGCTCACTGTTAGAATTACAATACCGCTATTCTTACTTCCTATGCAACGGTCTGTTCTAGCGTTTCCATGGAAGTAACCCTTCTGGATTCCAAACACGTGACAATATTAACTATTCAATGATTGTGTCTTAGTTTATTAAAACCAAAGTAGTTATATAAAAACAATTTTAAGGCTGATGCAAAATTTAAGTAGGCTTATGTTGCGAAAAAACTAGGACAAAAGATTTGACTCCTATAATTTAGAGCATTTGCTTAAGTCTGTAACTAGAGACCTACATTATAAACAGTAGAGAGAGTTGAGAGTGACTGTATAAGTACTGCCTGGTGTTGTCCAAAATAGTGACTGAAACGTGTCGCAATTATAGAAACTGTATAGCTATCCCACAATTATACATATATTGTGAGACCGAAGCTGAATAAAAGAAATGGAAAGATCTACTTCGACTTCGACCATCGCTCTCTAGTTCTACCGAGTGCCAAATTCCCTGAAAATTGTTCCAGTCGTAAAACACTGATGTAAAAATTATGCGCATGTTTTCTTGTATGCGATTGAACTTGAATATTTTTACCCTGGAAACGAAATCGCATGTTTCTCATCAGACCATTGTTGTCCGCTGGCGTATAAGTCGTGATAGGAACTTGCTGAATACACATTTGGGCCCCTAGTGTGTGTATCGTTATGATCTTGCAGATGCCACCTACCCCGTTTTATTTAGGGGTTCTCCCCATAAATTCATTCTTCAATGGTTCTACAGCCCTTTGTTGGTTCCTGGCCGCATTCTCACTTTCGTAATATTTTACACAGTCGGTATGACTCCTTGGACGGGGTATTAGCCTGTCACACCTACACACAGGACAACACGCACGCAGACATCCATGCCTCCAGTGGGATTGGAACCCATGACCCTAGTGTTCGAGTAGAAGAAGATAGTTCATGCGTTAGACCGTGCAGCCACTGTAATCGGCTTGTCTAGGAAGATAGTGTCCATAAATTACTGAAATTTAATAAAAATCATGAGACATTTTTGAGAAACCCATTTTCTTTCTAGGGCCCACCTGAAGGGAGCTATACTGTTCATATTCACAGGGCAGCCGTCTGGTACAGATGAGCTCCTAAATGACGGTTATGAATAAAATTCGTCAGAGCTTTCAGACGCTGGAGGGAGGCGCGAGTATGGACTCACAGAATTTCAAAAACCACTTTTTCAGGGTTGATGAAAACGCGTAACTCCGTTGAAATTTCGAGTTCGATTTTTATCATCATCACAGTACTTCATCATATGCACTGTGTGTGTGTGTGTGTGTATGTGTGTGCGGAAGCTACAACAGGATTGAATGATACTGCGAGCCGGGCCAGCGTCGCGAGCCACATTTTGATCAGTTCTGCTATACATACTCTCAAACAGTAGGATGATTGGCGAATAGTGAACTGGAAATCATTTATAAGAAAACTGTTGCAAAGGCAGTATTCCAACTCTTGCCTGGTGGAACTGAGGAAAAACACGAACATTTCGGTAAAGACAGCCGGTGTCCCGCCCGAGACTCGTTCTGGGTAATTACTATAGGATCTGAGTTTCTGACACCGGTGTAGCCCGTTGAAAATAAATCGACTTTTCGGAGGTGCACGTCACCTCCTTCTCCAGGGTCAAAGAACTGAAAATGGAGGCGATATGTTGCTCCGAAACGCCGGTTGACTTTCCACGGAGTACACGACGTTGTATCCCAGAAGATATAACTCTTCTAGGTATGATTCCCGAATACAAGTTTAGAAAGTTACCACCACATCCTACCGACGTTTATTCGAAACTCGTTTTGGTGCCCAGAGGACGGAATGCTACATCAGGTACGGTGCCTAGCGACACGAAACGCTATTCATAGGGTACCAGAGGTTTCTTGATGCTAACTGCAGCTTTTTTCTGTAATTTCGCAAAACTTGGGCAGCTGCCTCTCCCTCTCCACCTCCGCGCCGTCATGAAGTGCGAAAGCAGGTGAAAGGCTGTTCTAAATATTTCCGACGTAAAGCCAAAAAAAAAAGTCTAGTCAGCGACAGCATCCGCGGTCCGCGGAACAAATGCACTTTTCTCTTCCATGCCTGCAGTTAGGGGTTAAACGGCTGGCGATCGATTCCCGACAAATCCAGAAAATGTGTGCCTTTATCACCACATCCAGTCAGTCTCTGCCCCCTGTGCAGTAGGTACCAGGGGCTTTTTCCCCGGCGATTCAAAGACCAGAGCGATATTCACCTCCACCTCTTTCTTAAGTTAAAATACGCGAGGCTTTACCGCCACTCCTTCTATAAGCCTTTACTGTTTTACTATTGTGTTCATTTCCATACATTAAGCATTTAAACGGCGACCTGGGTTCGATTCTAGGTCAGACAATGTGGTATTTGTAGTGGAAAAAGTGGCACTGGGACAAGATTTCTCAGAATGGTTTGGTTTGCCCTGCGAATTCTCGTTCCACCGACCGTTCCATGCGCATCAATTCTTGTATCACTGATGTCATACAATTTCGTTACTGACAGCGTCGTTAAATAACCAACTTTAAAAATATAAATTATTCGTTTAATCCTCTGACGCACGAGGACAATACAAATAACGTTTAAAATTTCACTTCATATGTCACAGAAAACACCGTGTTTCCATTACAAAAGCACGTTGTTTAAACACATAAATACACTGAAGAAAGTCGTCTTCTGGGTTTTGGCGCCGTGTATTCTTCGTTTTGGCCCACGTTTCGGAGGAACGTGGGCCAAAACAAAGAATACACGGCGCCAAAACACAGAAGACGACTTTCTTCATAGTCATCGCCGTGAAACTTCAAAACTTACACATAAATACACTGTCTGCGCAGAATGCAGAGTTTTCGAATGTTAGAGGATACTGTACATATGCATGTGCCCCAGGAGGAAAGTCAACGTTCTGGGAAGTCATATTATCGGCTATTCTAAGCAAAACACTGTACACGTACACGTGTCCTATTGCGAACTGTTTCCGAGATAGAGCTGTTTCACTGTACACTGCACAGACGAGCAACACGCCATGTGCTCACACGAGTTGCAAAGTGCAGTGATGTTGACAGTGGAATTTTTGAAAATACATTACACTAGGTAAACTATAACAACTTTGTCACTTGAACAATAAATACCGGTATTAGAAGCAGTACGCAACATATATTACTTATCACCAGTTCTAGAACCGTACAGTGAAATAGCTGTATCTCGGAAACCGTTCGGAATAGGATACGTGTTCATATACACCTTTTTGCTTAGAATAACCGATACTATGAGCTCCCAGAATATTGACTTTTCTCCTGGGACACCCTGCATGTAGTTATCACTGTGCCTGAAAAGATTAATAAAAATTTAATGCGTATTCCATGCATACTTGATGTTGTCGTATAGGCCTGTTTTAAATCACGCAAAATCTGTCACACCAGTTGCCATGGAAAGCAAATATTTCATGTAAACCTAATTGTTTACATGTGGCTTACAAATGTATGCTTGCAAATATTTACTATGTGATTTATATTGACTAATTTCCCTTCTTCTCTAAGAACAAAATCAATTACAAATTACCACTCATGATCACCTTCAGATAAGTTCGTTGCTTCATGAATATTGCACCGGGTTATTGTCCATTACATTACGAACGAACACAATTCGGTAACTCACATGATAATTCTTGTAGTCAACCAGTTGATTTGAGGCTGGATCTGTGGTCGATATATCGCTGGGAATGAAGACTACGATAAGGCAAGGGACAATCCAGCCGGTGTCCATCTTGTGTACGAGTCACCACAAGCACTAACCTACTGACTAGACTTTTATACCGTCATTGTTTCCAGTGCAAGCTGTCGACAAGGAGTTAAGCTTTTGTTACGCGGGATACCAGCTTTCTTTCCATCGTCCCTCGGTTCTACGTCTGGCTGAGTCACTTGAAGTAGTACTATGATCCCGGTTGAATGACTGCGCGGTACTCTGGTCCTTCTGTTGCAATGGATCGCTTGACGAAACTGACCATGGGCCACAAGCTATGTTACCCTGTTTATCTAATGACAGTGCGTCAGAAATTAAATTATGAGAAGAAATAGTACAATTATAATCTTCAACATAAATGTATCAAATTATTCACGCATAATGTCACTATTATTTATTGCATAGGGATACATGGGTTAATTTGTAATATTTAATATTAATTTAAAATTAGTTTAAATTAAAATAATTAAAATTTAATTCTTTACTCTCCGTGAAACAAAACGTAGGCAGACCAGAAAACTAAGTATAATATTAATCAGCAATACGGGGGAGCACGAATTCGACAGATCTCCAGACGAGTGAATAAACATACACAATCCGCGCCCGCTGTAAACACAAGAAGGGTATGTACCACGGTAACAGCATAAAGCTGTAACAAACCGGGAATCACGCCACACACAACAAACGACATAACACATTCACGTACAAATTTGCGTAACACCGCGATGTATACATACATGAACGTATATAGAAAGAATTGACTAATATAAAAGCCACTAGCAGAGCAAGTCAAATATCTCGGGATCACCCTAGATAACAAACTTACCTGGGGCTCACATATTCTCAAGAAACGCAAGCAAATGCACCTCGAAGCTGCAGAGCTCAACTGGCTGCTTGGCAGAAAATCCAACCTCTCCCTTTCAAACAAACTACTCATCTACAAAGCTGCTGCACCCTGGTACATCTCAAACCGCACTCTACATACTGATCTCAAAATACAGCACGTCACGGAAGTTATCCGCCAACACAGCTCTGCCTATGTCAACAAACCTAAAGAACACGACAACCCGCTGATTCGACCCCTATTACTGCCACCGATTAACAGACGTCTAAAACGCAAATCACCGCAAGACCTATGGCTATGAGGTGAACATCGATGGATGTCGCCCATTCACGTCATGTAAGGTGTGCATTAATTAAGCTGTAAATCTGCACACTAGTCAGCACATTGGCTTAAAGAAATGTATATTTCAGAGTGTCAATAACTATAAATAAAAAAATAAAAATATATAAAAGCCATACACATATTAGAATTAAAAAAAAAACACACTGGAATTGTCCACCCAAACATTTAACATAATAATTCATATGCATTTAATTTTAATTGCTTTATATTATTGTTAAACTTAATCTTAAAGTTAATATCAAGATATTTTAAATTAATCAGTACATCCATATACGCTGAGAGCTGGGTAGCGCAGTCGGTATAGCGACTGGTTACGGGCTGGACTACGGAGGGGTGGGAGTCCAAGTCCCGGTATGACTGACCACTGGATAGCGCAGTCGGTATAGCGACTGGTTACGGGCTGGACTACAGAGGGGTGGGAGTACAAGTCCCGGTATGACTGACCACTGGATAGCGCAGTCGGTATAGCGACTGGTTACGGGCTGGACTACAGAGGGGTGGGAGTACAAGTCCCGGTATGACTCCAACTAATGCCGAAGTCAAGAAAATGCGGATCTATACATCCATTCCCCCATACGCCTTCATGTCGTTCTTCTTTATTAATTAAGCACAAGGACAACTTTACCTTTATCCCTATGCAATAAATAAAAGTGACACTGAGCATACGAACGTTAGGAATTGGTTGTAAGAATGGACAAAGTTGTAATATCTGGATCCATACACAAATTACAGACTCAGTAGTTTAAGTTTATGGAAAGCATCGCCTGATGATGGCTTCATAAAAAACCGAAACATGTAGCGAAATTGTATTTTAACCCAAATAGACGCACAATCAACACGATAAACGTGTGCGCGAATTATCTCGTAAAATTGTGTAGAAAATAAAAACAATATATATATATATATATAGTTATATGGGAGTGTAACTTGAAGAAGGGAGCACTAGGCTACTCAGAAACGTTTGTAAACACTTGCCAGATTACTGATCGCCTACCAGTATATATGGTGTCATTACCAAAAAGAAAATACAGTATGGACCAATTTATTTGTAAATAAGCTCTGTTTCTCGTGGTTTCCTGACATTAAGACCAAATGTGGGTGTTGGATTTACTAAAATTGTCGACATAGTAACATAATAATAGTTCAGTTCCTGACGTGCAAGTTCGACAGATACGGAGGGCAAGTAGAAAGTCAGCAAAAGTAATAAAAAATATGCAATACAGACACTTCAGCACACGTGGGACAGATACAATGTCTGTTTGTACAGTACTGTAAATTTATAGTAATAACTGCATGAAGCAAGACTCTATATCTTCTCGCTGGGTAAGGTGGGTAAGGGACCCACTAATTGAAGACAATTTCTATGCTCAACAATTATTCTAAGTTCTATTAGAAGAAAGTAAAAGATGTAGATAATATATACATTGTGTACACAGTACAGATTTTCAAAGAAGTTTCCTCCTGAAGAAAGTCGTCTTCTGGGTTTTGGCACCGTGTATTCTTCGTTTTGGCCGACGTTTCGGCATTCACAAGCCATTCACCTGCTCTGAAGATGGAGGCGATATGCTCCTCCGAAACGTCGACCAAAACGAAGAATACACGGCGCCAAAATCCAGAAGAGACTTTCTTCATAGTCATCTCCGTGAAAACCTCGAAACTTACAAAGTTTCCTCCTGTTTTCAGTGTTACTGGTGTTATATATTTATCGTTAAGAAGAGGGACAAAGAGGGTGGGGGGTGGGGGGAAGCCATGAGCCGAAAAAGTGTGAAGTCCAATTGCTACGCGCGGTATTACGCATTGGTGAAATTGAAAACTAGACTCTCTAATCCTTACCTTGAGGAACATGTTATCGAAATGTTAGAAGGTCAGACGTTGATAAAATGTACGTATATATACGCTTACGTCAGACGGTTCCGTCTGTGTCATGAAACACCCCGTGGCTGACACATAAATTACACATTAAGATAATATACGACATGAATAAAAGTCTAATTACTCTAACATTTACATATTACAGTATTACAAGATATGATAACTACCGATTAACAAAATTAAACAAAAGATTAACATTACACAACTCATCTTTGAGCATGCTGACATTATTGCACATTTAATTTACGGTTAAGGCCCAGAGAACAGAAGGACACTTATTGCGTGACTACATATATTAAATTCTCCAATGCGCTGTGTTCCAAATTCTGGTCCACGAAACCCAATATTCCAGGAAGTGAAAACGAGGGCTCCACTAGAATATTCCCTTAAAGGTAAAGTTGTCCCTGCGCTTAACAAATTAAGCACTAGGCTATGAAGACGTATGGGGGAGTGGATGTATGCATCCACTTATTCTTGACGTCGGCACTAGTTGGACGGGAGTTCTCAGCTTCATGCCTCGGCTGCTTTACCTCCGGTACCCATTGAATAGGAGGCTGCGTGGGCTTTAGAACCTGTCTGGACGACGTGGTGAGGAGAAAGACCTTGCACTTACCGGGACTCGAACTCCGATCCCTCGGCCGTCTAGCCCATAACCAGTCACTATACCGACTGAGCTATCCCAGCTCCAAGAAAATTCCATTATTATATAAATATGATAATTTGAGGGGCTATGCTACAAGCCGGAAGGTCGCGGGTTCAAGTCCCGATGAGGTCATTGGATTTTTTCTATTGATCTAATCCTTCTGACCGCACTATGGCCCTGGGGTTCACTCAGCCTCTAACAGAAATGAGTGCCAGGAATTAATTAAATAATCTTCCTGGGGAGTAAAGCGCGGCCGGTGCGTAAGGCTGACGACCTTACCGCCATCTTTAAGCCGATTGTCTAGATCAGGCATGTCAAACTCAACTTGTACAGAGGGCCACCTCAGCCCTATAAATAATAGTCCAGGGCCGCACTTCAAAATAGAAATATACCTTAGATTTTGATACAAGGAAATTTAATTCCATTTATTATTTAGGAATAATTTCAATATAATTACCTAAAGTGGAACACTTATATTTTGCCCAAAAATCAAACATGTAATTTTACCTTCTTTTTCACAACAGAAATAAGCGATTTCCCATTTTTCTTGAAAAGCACGGCGCTCACTTTCAATAGTTCTTTTTTTGCTACTTAAATTTTTTGAAAGCGACAATGTCCTTTAAAAGTTACTGTACATATACAAGAAAACTCGTAGTTGATAAGAAAGCAGTCTTCTGGGATTTGGCACCGTGTATATGTGGTGTTAACCGACGTTTCGGAGGACCGTATCGCCTCCATTTTCAGGGTAGAAGAAAAAATATAAGAAATCCGCAAGCGAAGAGACCGTCTCACGGTCTTCTACCTTCTACCCTGAAGATAGAGACGATACACGGTGCCAAATCCCAGAAGACTGCTTTCTTCATAGTCACCGCCGTGAAAGCCTCAAATCTTACATCGTAGTTGATAATTTAATGTTTAATTATAACCTTTATACGTTCATCACAATGTAACATCAGCACCTGTCGCTGTGTGAAAATGAACTGAATGACAATGTACAAGAGACAACCGGACTAGTAGGAAGGCGTATCTTGTCTCAATGGTCATAAAAGTGAAAGTTTGCTAGCAGCCCATTAGATAATGGCTGGGGGTTGCAAGCTAGTTTGGAAGATAGAAATCCCTTGCACTTGTCTGTCAGTTGCCACCCTCCTTGCATTCTTACTACGCCTCCAAAAGGGATTCTTGGAAATACTTGGAGTGGTGAGGCTGTGCGGATTTTAGTGCATTAACCTTCTGAAATACAGTAGTTTGTCCTTCACGAACTTTACAAACCGTTAGTTGCACAAACCCTTCTGCAATTCTCAGAATCACTTTTCCTGCAGCCTGCTAATTTATGTCTGCGTGAGACTTCTTGTCTTCTGTCTGT